TTGTTAGTGCAGGAAGAAAGAGGCTGGAGAGAGGAAGATGCAGCCGCCAGGCCCAGGCTCTGTGAGTGACATGGGGGAAGGATGCGATGGAACGTTCTCGCTGGCAGTGATTGCAGGGCCTGGCTCTGGGAGCCACTCTGCCTCTTTTGGAGCAGCACATCCCAAGTTCATTAGAAAATCTGAGACCTTTGCTTTTAAACTGTATTTGCTGCACTGTGGGAAGAGGTGAAGGAACACAGTGAGTGCAGAGCTGCAGAGCTGGGATGCCAAGAGACTTCTCAGGCTCCCTGGATATTTTGGAGTAAATGAGACTACTAAAAAAGCCCTAAGCCCTATAATAACAGCCTGAAGGTTTGGCCTGTTTAGTTAAGAAAAGACAAGGAAAAAAATGACAGGAGAATGTTATCTGAGGAGGGTTTAGAGGAATCAGTTGAGTTCCAAAGAATGTGTGTATTTTAGGATTAAGTTGATCCCTTTGGGTCATGACCTGGGATTGGACAGAAAGACCAGACAGCAGGCGCCCAGGGAGTGGTGAGAGCTCAGATCGGGTGCGGGAACTGGCTGCACCTCCTGCCAGGCTCACCCGTGTCCTTGGCAGGGAGCACAGAGGTGAGCCAGCCTCTTGGCCCACATGCTGCTGAGCAATGGCCCTGGCGGGTCGGATCTCCACCAGGTGGGGCAGGAAAGGCAGCCCTTGGCCGGAAGGTCTGGCATTCTGTCTTTGTATCAGCTTCAGCTTTCTTCAGCTGTGGTCACTCTTCCCTGAGCTCACAGGAAAACTCCAGGGGGTGCCCCGATTCTGTTGTCTGATGGGAATTGTCTTCCTTAGCTTATTCCCCCAGCGTGGGCAGGTGGTGGCTCATGTCGTTGAGTCCTTGTCCCCAACAAGAGAGACCCAGATGGAGTTCCCGCCATGTGCCTGACTGAGGCCAGTGCTGTTAGGAGCGACTGAGGAGTGAACCAGCACAAAGAATGTCTCTCTGCCTTTTGGATAAATGTTATCTATAAAATGAATGCAATTTTAAATGCATTTAAAGTATTTTAGAAGTATAAGAGCAAATTTCTTGGCAATGTCAGAGCAAATTAAGTGATATAAATCAGCACTATACGTGGAAATAGAATGTAAGCCACTGTGTGGACAGAGCTTGTAATTTAAAAATTTCTGGTGATCACTTCATGAAAAAGGCAAAAAGAAATGGGTGAATTAATCTTAGAAATGTAGTTCATCTATCTTAATATATTCCAGTATATATTCATCATCATAAGGGGAATTACTGAGGAATTTCCATGCCTTTTCTGTACCAAGTATTATGATTTGATCACACTTTCCACCCACAGAGCATCTCAGCTGAGCTTAGCTGTGTGTCAGAGGCTCGGTGGCTCTTGACGAGCGGCCGCAGGATGGGAGCAGCACAGGTCCGGGGCCGAGGAGAAGCTTGGCCTTCAGGTTACAGCCTGTGAGACCCAAGCAGGGCTTCTGTTGCTTTATATTGGATGAGGACAGATAGCATCCCTGCAACTGGGAGGCATTGGGGAAGTTTTACTATTTGATCATTATTATTTCTAGTAAAATCCACCTATGGTGGCTGTAAGGCGGAAACAAAAAGTCCAGGTTTGTTTGTCAGAAGCCCTGCACTGGAGCTCTCCCGCTGCTGGTCTCTTCATGTTTTCCCTTTAGCGAGCCCTGGCGGGGAGGGGGTTCAGTGAGTCTGACATCTCCTGTTTCCCAGGTCGGTAATACATCTGTCACAGCTGCCACTCTGCGAGTGCTCATTGTGCCAGCGTGACTCATGTGTGACATCTTCCTTAGAACTGTTTGAGGAAGGCGTTTTTTGATGTTGTCTGTTTTTACCCATTTTCCATGTGACTATCCTCAGGTCATTGAGTTGGCAAGGAATTTGAATATGACTCTGAAGCTCTTGGATGATATTACTGGCTTTTGACCTTACACATGCCACGGTACATTAGGTACATGTGACATTAAGTTATAATCTACGTTTAACAAGTAGGCGTTCCAGCCCATTGTGCTGGCAGATATACACATGCACGTAGATTGGCCATAAGAAGATTGTAGAAAGGTGTTTTACTGCACTGTCTGTAAATATTCACAGAGGGGAATGGACAACCCAATACATCGTCTATCTCCATGTACACAGAGATTGATTCAAAGTATGGAATACTGTGTAGCTGTTACAGTGAAAGCAATTTATTTCCTTCAATAGATATTTTTCAATATTGAATGAAGAAATCAAGTTGCAGAAGGCTATCATAACATATTCTAGCATAAGTGTTATATAAAACTGTATGTTATTGGGGGATAATGTAATAATAAGGATTTGCATATATAGCAATGCTTTGATGGGGTGGCTGTTACCATCCCTATCTTATAGCAGTGAAAACTTAGGTACAGAGAGGATAATATCTTTTTATATTATATAATAAATATATGCAGTTTTTCGTATATAAATAAATATATATATAATTTATTATTTGGAAGTCACAATTACAGAAAGAGTGAGAGCCTCCATGCCCTGGTTCACTCACACATGGCTGCTAAAGCCAGAGGCCTTGCCAAGAGCCAGGAGCAGCATCCAGGTCTCCCCCATGGGCAGCAAGGGCCCCAGCACTTGGACCATGGTTTGCTGCTTTCCCAAAAGCATTAACAGGAATGTGGGTCAAAAGTAGAGGAGCCAGGACATGAACTGGTGCCCATTTGGGATGCTGGTTCAGATGGTGGCTTAACCTGATAAGCCACGATGCCAGCCCCACAGCTGATGCCTTAAGTAGTAAATGAACAATGTCATACTTAAGATTTAAGTTTCTTTATAATATGCACTTCCTTTGAATCTTTGGAAGATTTCTGATATTTGAATCTTTTCTAAGTCTTCTCAGAGATTGATAGCAGGTTACTTTTTATTTAAAAAAATCCATTAAATATGTTGTTTTAATGCTTTAAAAATGGGTTTATTTATACAAAGGGAGCCAATTTCATGTACTTCACATATACAGTGTTTTTTAAAAAGATTTATTGGAAAGTCAGATTTACAGAGAGAAGGAGATACAGAAAGAAAAATTTTTCCATCTGCTGATTCACTCCCCAAGTGGCTGCAATAGCTGGAGTTGAGCTGATCCAAAGCCAGGAGTCACTTCCGGTCCTCCCGCATGGATACAGTGTGCCAGGGCTTTGGGCTATGTTCTACTGCTTTTCCAGGCCACAAGCAGGGAGTAGGATGGGAAGTGGAGCAGCTGGAATAGGAACAGACACCCCTGTGGGATCCCGGCACTTGCAAGCCATAGGCTATCACGCCGGGTCCCTTTCATAGACAGTTTTAAGAGCATAATAATACATCCCACCCTACCTAGCTATCCTCTGTCCTTCACTTTACTGAAATTGTAAGCTTGCAAACAATCCTCTGCTGGGTCCCCAGGGCCATGGGGCTGGTGAATAAAGCTTTAGATCCTGTGACTCAACCCCTGTGTTTCTGGTGCGGTTCATCAAAGCACCCCTTCCTGTGCTGTTCTGCCTCTGCTTTACCAGACAGCGATCATGGGTTCTTTGCTGTGCTGTTGGGCCTAGGTGGGAAATGGTGAACACTGTGACCTCGGAAGGGACAGTGCTCTGTGCCAGACCAGTCCCTGAGTACCCCATTAAACCGCAGGTGCTGGGATTCCAGCTCAGGGCAAACTTTGGAAAGATTTCCGAATCTTGCCTAAATATATTCATAAAATGGCTTTCTTAGGTAGGATTTTGGTTGGCAATCTTGGTGTTAATTTTTTCATCATTATTGTTACTTATGACCTCAAATTTAAGTACCTGTGCTTTCCAGTATGGCTCTTACATTACAAAAAACAAAACAAAACAAAACAAAAAAACAACAAAAAAAAACCAGAGTAAACTCCTTATTATCGGAATATTGGGGATGAGGCATCCGATAAATATTGTTAATGGTTGCCACGTGATCCATATGCGCAGCACTTGTGAACAGTTAACAAAGTGGATTCTGGGAGTCCAGGCCAGAGGGATAAAATGTAGAACTTCGTCTACTTTGAAAATGGCAAAATGGAGGCTTAAAGAGTCAGGTGTTGTGCAAGATTACATAGCTAATCTGAGGGAGTTGGGAGTGGGAAGAGGGGTTCCCTACTGCCGTGATGTTTAAGCATCACTGAGTACAAAAATATATACATAAACTTAAAAATTAACCCTGTGATCCATTACTTGTCATTGGCTGATTTATAAGGCTTCTCCAAAGACTTCATAGATTCAAATCCAAAAATTTTAGATGCAGAATTTGTGCTACATAGAACACTTCCCCTAAATCATTTTCATCCTTTATGATGAATAAGCTGTTGAAGTGCAAGTTATCATATGATAATGCTGTAACAGTGCTTATCAATGTAGATAATATTGGGGTCCCAGGTTTTCTTAATTTTCAAAGAGAAAGCCTGATGTCCTAGAATTAGATTTCAGATTAAGACTTCATTTTTAAGTTTCTCACTTATTACATTTTCTCCCATTAAAAGGAGTTTGATCATTTCTATCCAATACTTTAGGATAGTTTCACCTATTTTTACATCCTTAGGACTTACAATCCTATGTGGTTGGATGACAGAGCTGTACCCAGGCAAATGCTGGAGTTACTGATCCCTGCTGCAACCCAGCACACTTAGTGCAGGTGTCCTTTGGTGACCCACTGTAACTTTTGGCTAGATAGGTTAATACATGCCTTCTGCTGCACGTTTACTTTGGTAGCACTCCATGACTGCATTAATGCTAGGATTTAAACTTCACAGGCACGGTACGGTACTTGTAAACAGATGTGGCATCCACCGTCCAAACAAAGAAGCTAGAAAAACCTTACCTAAAGCGGTTCAATACAATCGAATCTAGTAAACTTAAGTATCTGTGCAATGCAGCAATCATTAACAAATTCTTATAAAATATCACTGCGCAAAATGAAAGTTGCCTGAATGTCCCTTTCCTAACATGATTTATCTTGCAGTTTGTGAACTTAAATCTCCTACCATGAGTGACTTCCTGTGGGGTCTGGAGAACTCTGGCTGGTTAAGGCACATTAAGGCCATTATGGATGCAGGAATCTTTATTGCAAAGGTAGGTGCTGGCAGAGGATGGATGGATGGATGGGTGGATGGATGGATGGATAGATGGATGGACAGACAGACAGACAGGCCAGAAAGCCTCACTGACTCCAAATGGTGATTGAGTTTCTTCCCGATTGGCTGCAAGCTGCACTGTGTTGAATGGATAGCTATCTTTGTAGACCTGTTTTAGGGCGTGTCCTCTGGAGATGTGACTTACTGAGAGTACAGTATTTAGTTGATTGTATGTCAGCATAGTGTTCAAAGGATAAACTATTTCTAGAATATTCTGTATCCCACTATCTTTAATCCTGGATGTAGGAAAGAATTTTCTGTGGAACAATACAAGCAGTTCTGAGTCATTTGAGTGATGGGCTTGAAGTTTGAATCCAGTCAATCCTTCTTTATAGTTTTGTCGTAAGCAGAAACTTTCCCTTTCCTCATTCTCTTCCCTCCCTTGCTCCCTCTCCCCTCCCTTCCTTCCCTGTTATTTTCCATGACAGCTCTGTAACCTGAGGGGCTCCGGCCTCCCCTGCCTTTCTGTTTTGGTAGGGAAACTCTTGGCTGCAGCTTTCACTCAGGTTGTGTTGGATACATTGTTGTGTTGTCTGGCATTGGTGTTTTTTTTAAAAAATAAAATTCCTTTTCAGTTCATACCTAGAGAAACCTAATTTCTCTGTTAAGATGGTGTGCTCTCCTTTATTAATCACTTGGCCAACAATTTTTTAGTGCCAAGCGTTGCTGCGAGTGCTGAGTAAGGCAGATTAGGCCTCTTCCCTCACAGAGATTAACGTTTTGGTGTGAGAGACAGAGAATAAGTTCAAGTATAGAAGCAGTATCAGATAGTGGCAAATAACCATGATGGTATATTTCTACCCTTCTATAAGTTACTGACTAATTACTCAGCTAACGCTTGTGTCCATCTACAACAGGAAATAGAGGAAATTATCTTACTAGCAGAGATTTTTTTTCTGGTATAATTTTTTTACCTTTGTCTCTTCTTCCCTCCTTCCTTCATCCCTGGACTCATTACTCAATTATTCTTCTTCTAGCTGTAATTTTTAATTAACACTTTTCTGTCTTTTCCCTTTGAGAAGTGGTTGTGACACTTCCAGAATTCCATTAAGGCTTCATGTGGCAACCCAGAAGGGAGGAAAGGACAGATCATGCAGCCAGGTTGGCACAGGCCACACACTTCAGCACAGACGCTGACGGGAGGGGACTCGGCTGCTGGCTTCTGGGTGTAACAGAAAAATAAAAGCTCTTGTCACTAGCACCAAAAACTAAGTGGGGGCACAAACAATGTATTAAACAATTTCTCATTATATATGGAAATAACCGAGACAGGCCAACTTCACACACAAAAATATTCAGAGGTTATTTATGTTTTGATTTGTCCCTGTTCTGATAAACCCACCAGGACTCAGTCATGGCAGCGCCACCCTTGAAACCATAGAGTTTGCACACTCAGTACCACTCACAAATGCCTTAGGGAACTCAAACTCCTGCTTAAATTCAGGAAGATGTTGTAGAGCACAGACTGTAGCAAGCAGTAGATCACGGTGTGAGCAGCAGTCTTGTTTCACATGTTCTTTCTTAAAGGAGGAGTACATAATTATGATTGGTTCTGTAGAGTTTGCCTCTGTAGCCGCTCTCTGACTCTCTGCTAATCCTGTGGTTTGTAGGCAGTCTCAGAGGAAGGGGCAAGCGTGCTTGTTCACTGCTCCGACGGCTGGGACAGGACTGCCCAGGTGTGCTCGGTGGCTAGCCTCCTGCTGGACCCGTACTACCGCACTCTGAAGGGCTTCATGGTGAGTGTGCCTGCTGGCCCATCCCACAGCAGAGCCTCTTTTTAGGCAACTGATGGCAGCCTCTTCCTGTCACGATCATTATCATTGGTGTTATTTTCTTAGTTGATCAGGAAAATTAAAGGGGAAAAATTAGAGTAGACTTTAATTTCTAGGGTACTGAAACTAGTCCAAATCACTATTATGGAATATGAATGTGAGGGCAAGTAATGAGACTTACTCGGTAGTTAATAAAATAATGAGGTTTATATATTACCTCGAAGTCTTTCCAGTTTAGGTAATATGAACATATAATAATAAATATTTTTCAAAAGAAAAAAAGTTATTTAATGCACAAAATATCCTTGGATTGGACATCCTGGTGAGTGTGCCTTTTTTGCTGAAGTGACGAGTGCCTCTTTTCCTGGGGTTTTAACTTTTTGTATGTGTGTTAAAACGTGGCAGATTGCTTACAACTAAAGACTATTTGGATAGTTGCCTTGGGTGGTGAAGTTTTGATGAAGCTGAGATGATTTCTTTAAAATGAATGCAGGGACTACCCTGTGACGAGATCACTTGTCCCTTAAACCATGATTTAGTGGAAAGTAATTCGGCAGATCCTGCGTCCAGGCTGGGGACGGGTGCTGACCAAGGAGCCCAAACTGAGAACATCGCCACTCTCTATCAAGTGATGTCATCGGACCCCTAGGTGCAAGGGCGTGAGGCAGCCCTCCTCTTTTGGCCTTTTTTTTTTTTTTTTTAAGATTTATTTAAAAGGCAGAGAGAGAAGTTGATTGAGAGGCAAAGTTCAATCTTCCACCTGCTGGTTTACTCCCCAAATGGCCACAGAAGGCTGGAAGCTGGCCTGGATTGGAAACAGGGAGCCTGGGTGCATGCACTCAAGCACTTGGGTCTCCCTCTCTTTTACCAGGCATATCAGCAGGAAGTTGGATCAGAAGTAGAATAACTGGAACTGACTTGCACATTGAGATGCTGGCACCACAGGTGCCCAATTCACCAGAGCTGGGCCCTTGGCTGCTACTTCTGCTGTTGCTACTATTTTTTTTTTCTTTTCTTTTCTTTCCTTTTTTTTTTAAATGTCCAAGATCTTCCAATTACCTGTGACGGTATTAACACTCAGAGAAAAAGTCCTGTGTGTCACTCTCTTGTTCTAGACTGAGGAAGGCTGGAGTTCTTCATTTAATTTGGGGAGCTGAGATGTTCTCAGAGCTACACTGCCATAGGGCCTCTGTGCTCCTCTATCAATGGCTCATTATAATTAACCCCTTAAGCCATTAAACTTGAACTCAAAGATGTCTTAAGAGTTAGCAAGAACAGATTTTAATCAGTCAGTATACATTTAAGGCAACCTCTGACCATATTGGAGCATGGGTGATATTAATGGGCTATTCTATGTTTTCTGATTCAACATTTTTAAAAAATTTCAGACTATTTAAAGCTTCAAACTTACATTAACCCTGATTCCAAAGCAGAGCTAAATTTTCTAATATAGTCCTCACCCTATTATTTTAGAAATATATAAAAAAAAGTTCACTAGGAACCAACTCCTAGTTGTTTCTTATAAAAGGTTGTTATTTCACATTACACTGAAGAAACAGAGCTAGATTGTGAAATTGCACCTGCTGCTTCCTAGTAGCATGATGTTGGACACATGTGTACCCTCTTAGCTTCAGGTGCTCCTGTGATATGAGAATCATTAAGACATCTATCCCACAATTAAATGATATGATGTAGAAGAAGACATGAACAGCAGCTGCCATATAGGAAGTGTTCAGGAGTGGTAGTTCTCCATTTTCACTACATATCACACATCTCCATTCCTGTGGCTGAGTCTCAAGGCTGCCTTTCAGGTGCAGCTTTGTACTGGTGGGTAACATCTGCTTGTTCGTCCTCAGCTTTCCTCAGGACGGTAGTTTCTGCTCTGAGTGCATAACCTTTACTGCTTATGGTTTCTTGTTCTCCCTTGCTTGCTTCACTCTGTGATGTTTATATTCTCTTCTGCATAGGTATTAATTGAAAAAGACTGGATTTCTTTTGGCCATAAGTTTACTCACAGGTAAGATGTATTTAAATCATCTCTTGTTTTGGATGTTTAGAGTAAAAGCACTGTTATTGAGGTTTTTAATTGAGTGCTGTAAGGGTGGGGAGGGCAGCCTAATTTCTAAACTTTTATTCAAGTAACTGTTCATAATACTTTTTTACGGTTTTCCAAATAACATTCATTGGCCATTAGTTCTATGGTTTTTGGAGTTATAATTTCATAGTGCCTTTCCAGGAAAACACAGTAGTTCCTCTTCATACATGAGAAAATTAAATTCTTCGATAATAAATAAAACTTCGTAGCATCACACTGTTATTTTTAGTTGGGGCTTCTACTGACCACCTGCTAGAGTTAGATCTCCAAGACAAGAGAAAAGAATGGCTGGGCATCAGATGAAGAATGTTAGGCAATGCTTTTTTTTCTTTTTAAAGATTTATTTATTTATTGGAAAGTCAGATATACAGAGAGGAGGAGAGACAGAGAGGAAGATCTTCCATCCGATGATTCACTCCCCAAGTGAGCACAACGGCCGATGCTATGCCGATCCAAAGCCAGGAGCCAGGAGCTCTTCCAGATAACCCACACGGGTGCAGGGTCCCAAAGCTTTGGGCCATCCTCTACTGCTTTCCCAGGCCACAAGCAGGGAGCTGGATGGGAAGTGGAGCTGCCGGGATTAGAACCGGCGCCCATCGCCTTCAAGGTGAGGACTTCAGCCTCTAGGCCACGCTGCCAGGCCTGGCAATGCTTTTTAATACTACTAAAGGCAAGGGCCAGTCGCCATGGCTCAGTTGGCCAGTCTTCCCCTTTCAACTGCCGGGATCCCATATGGGTGCTGGTTCCTGTCCCTGATACTCCGCTTCCAATTTGGTTCCCTGCTTATGCCCTGGGAAAGAGTAAAGAAAGGCCCAAAGGCTTGAACCCTACATCCTTGTGGGAGACCCAGACAAAGCTCCTGGCTTTGGATTGGCTCAGCTCCAGTTGTTGCATTTGGGGAGTAAACCAGTGGACAAAAGAAGTTTCTATTTCTCTGCTCTGTAAATCTGCCTTCTAGTTATATATATATATAATCTGTGTTTGCACTCTAAGGAAAACAAAACTAGGCAGTGTTCACTGCAGTTCCTCAATTTTATATTGCTAAGAAGTGTCAGTTCTGTATTGTCCTGTCTCCCATGATACCCTGTTAGATTGTTTCAAAAAAAAAAAAAAATCACAGAACAGTGTGAAGAATTAGGCAGCCTTTATTTAAAAACCAGCGCAAATGTGAGAAAGGGTTCTGATGAATTCTTTTAAAAACTAAGACAGGATTAATTTCAAAGTACATGTGGAATCTCTGGTCATGTGAGAATTACCTGACCAGTTTTACTGCTGCACTAGAAATAGGAACATCACTAGAAATTGGAAAAGCACTAGGTTTTCATACTTTCTCCCTTGTTTATCACTTACTTAAAAAGAAAAAAATGCGAATGCAAAGGGGGCAGCTATTTGGTGCAGTGGTTACTGTGCTGTTTGGGATACCTGTATCCCACAGGGGGACCCAAGTTCTACTCCTGGCCCCACTTCCAGTTCCAGCTTCCTGCTAATATGTGCCCTGGGAGGCAGCAGCTGGTACATCAAGGAGTTGGGTCCCTGCCACTGACTGACATGGGCGATGTGCATTGAATTTGCCCATCCAGCAGTGAACCAGCAAAGGGAAAGATCCATCTCTCGCTTTCTGTCATTGCCTTTCAAATAAAGAAAAAATTAAAAATTTAATCCCCTAAGCAAAGCTAAAAAGCCCCAGAGTTGCTTTGAAATTTCGTTTCTCTCATTAGTTACTAATAAAACAAGGGGTATTTTAGAAGTTCTGATTACACTTTGAAGAGTATTCCTTTTCCAAGGAAAGTTTTTTTTTTTTAATTTGTAATTTTTTGATAGTTTGTAACATGAACATTTCGTTCTGCATTTAGAGCTTTTAACACAGTTCTCTTGAAATCTGAATTCTGAAACTTGTGGTTCCGCTTCTTCATTCAGAATTTATACAGTTTGCTTTTATGATTGTTTCTATGTTTATAGCTTTAATGGTAGAGGCTGGGGAGTGGGGGATAGGAAGAGTCTCTCAAATTTCTAGTCTTTGCTTTATAGATACGGTAATCTAGATGGTGACCCTAAAGAAATCTCTCCAGTCATTGACCAGTTCATTGAGTGTGTCTGGCAGCTAATGGAACAATTTCCCTGTGCCTTTGAGTTCAATGAGAGGTTTTTGATTCACATTCAACATCACGTTTACTCCTGCCAGTTTGGAAACTTCCTATGTAACAGCCAAAAGGAAAGACAGGAACTCCAGTAAGTACTTTGTTGTTAAGTTGCTATCTAAACTTAAGTGTTTGAGGATTTCAGGTGGCTTTTCATAATTTGTAGCTTTTTAGTTTCTTACGTATAATGACAGATTAAAGTTTTTCTTTTTCCTGACATAATTTCATGAATGGTTTAATTTCCCTCTGCTCACACACACACACACAGAGGCAGGCAGACATTGCACACTAATATTTCAAGAAAAACTTTGCAGTGTCAGAGAAAGTGATTTTTACACTTAAAAATCTAGTTTACATTATTAATAATTACAAATCTGACTGGGAAAGCAAATTTGAAACTCAATTTACTGGTTCAGATTGACACTGTATTTCTTTATCCAAGGGTAAAATCAGACAACATGTGTGTTTTACAGTAACTTATAATGTAAAAAACTGAATCAGGCAGTGTAAATGAGACATTGCCAAATTCCCATATAACAAAATTTTATGTAGTATGTGTGTATGCAGGTTGAGTTTTAGAAATGAGATAGAATCCATTAGTTTTATACTGAGTTGAACAGCAGGAAAATTACTTTTTCTAGTTGATGCTAATTTATTTTTCTAAGGAAATTTAAGTGCAAATCCTGATCACTGAAGATGACTTAGAAGTAGCTGAGTGCATTCTTTAAGCTCACCTGTTTTCTTAGGTCGTTAACAGTTTGTTGCATGGGACTAGCCAATTCTCCATGGTATCTGCTTAGGTCAAGTCCTGGGTTATCCATTCACTAGCTTTGGGACTTTGGGAAGCAACTTCATTTTCCTGTTCTTCAGTTTCCTTGTCCCTAAGATGGATGTATCTCATAGGAATTGAGGATTAAATGAGAAAACACATGAAGCATTTATGAAAATGCTTGGCAAAAAACAAATGTCTGATGACTGTTGTGGGGAAAAAGGCCCCCGAAACTAAACAAGGCCAGTAAAGATAATGGAGATTGCTAGAGTGTTCTACTGTGCCATGACGCCACAAAGTGTAAATTTCCCTGAAAACAGAATGGAGACATGGCATTTGGATAGCAATTATTAGTGCCACGCCAGCTTTAATACACCCTATCTACTATTCAGAAGAACCAAAAAAGGTATATTTAGACTTCTTTTCTTTGTAACAGAATTCAAGAAAGAACATACTCTTTATGGGCACATTTGTGGAAGAATCGGGCTGATTACCTGAATCCACTGTTTAGAACCGATCACAGTCAGACCCAGGGAACCCTCCAGCTCCCGACAACACCATGCAACTTCATGTACAAGTACGTGAACCTTTAGGAACTTGGTATGAAGTAAATAAAATGCACTGAACATCAAGGCCTTTGGGGCACAAACCTCACAGAGGAAGATGTTGGAATATCTGATTTGGTAATCTTGCTGGGGTCTCCTCCCCTTCATCCCTGTGCATGTGGAATTCTCTTGATGTAATCGTATCTTAAAAATGTAAGCTCTTTTTATTTCTTAAAAGAGGAAGAAAGAGAAATAAAGAATAGAAAGAATGAACCAACTAAGCACCAAGTGCCGCATAGTGAAGTGTGAAATTATAAGCTTTGATAGTAATCCTGATGCAGCTTCCATTTTCTCTCTGCTGAATCAATTCTGGTAGAAATAAATTAAGATTGTATATATTGGGATGGAGGGGACAGAGTGATGTCCTAGAGGTTCTATAAATTTATACTAGATTTAAATATGTTTTGGCTCTTCTCTAGGCTTGTATAAGGAAAAATGATAAACTGAGAAAAAATATTCCTCCTCCCAGCTCACTTGTAACATCATCAGTGGCTCTTCTTGCCTGTAGATTTTATACAACACACTTTTGTTCCTAATTATTTTAATTAGATTTTCCCCAGAATTTTATAGCAGAATGCAAATTCTATTATACTAAAAAAAAAAGTGCCTCCCTGATTTGTGTAAAACAAGTTTTAATAGCTGTTGAAACGCACTATGATCAACTACACTATAATATAAACAGCCAAGCAGGAAATATTTTAGTTAGGATAAAGCACAGTTGTAGGCACTGACGGGAGTCCATGTAAATGTATGTGTGTGACACCACACTTCAGCATTCTTTATTGTGTAAGATTAAAAGATTTGTTACAAATGCAAATATTACTTTGTGCTGGTCATGTAAAAACACTTAAAAAAAACTTCAAGTTTGTAAGGTCCTCTCTGTAGCTAAAAGATTGTAAATGTACAATCACTGATTATCAAAATCCAAAGCTAAGAACTGTTTTTGTAATCCAAAAAAGTGCTAATCTATTTTAGAAAAATATTTTATGTGCCTTCTAATTTATCATTATAGGGGGCATGTAGGCAGGCGCTTCATGAACTTACTCTTCCCCAAAGTAGTTCAGTAACCCAAAAAAAGAAAACACTTTGAAATTGTTTCCTTATGTAATGACTTTTCTGGGCCTATAAGTTGCACTTGGTTATTGTGAAAACTGTGGGATTGTGATGGTTAAGATCCCTTAGGGGATGGGAGGAAGTGCTTTCCTGACTGTGACACAGTGCTGTCCCAAGCTCTGCTGCCCTGCCCTTCCCAGGTTCTGGAGTGGAATGTATAACCGCTTTGAAAAGGGGATGCAGCCGCGACAGTCAGTCACAGAGTACCTTATGGCAGTGAAGGAAGAGACGCAGCAGCTGGAGGAAGAGCTTGAAGCCCTGGAAGAGGTGAGACACATTTCCTTGCTCTTGTCAGTCCATTTCCTGTGCTCATTTCTTGACTAGCGTTATTCCACAGTCTCTCAGGACTCAGTCCATGAAAGTTAGCAACCTAGCCTTTCATATGTGTGCCTGGAGGATAACCCCAAAGAGAACCCTACCAGGTAGGCATCAGGCGATCAAAGCCCAAATCTACACACTGAATGCATTTGCTTACTGGCTTTGTGGCTCATTTTCATAATGTACTGAACTAGTTGAATTGTTCCTAATATGTATCAAATTTGTGTTCTTACGGTTGTGTAAAAGTAAAGAAATGCTTTTTTGGAACAAGTATTAGGAGGAAAGTGAAAATGAATAAAATCAGGTACCTGCATTTATAAAAATTCATTTCTACATGTGTAAGAATTAGGTAAGGGTACTATACTGATAACACTAAAGCTGACTATAGAAAGTTCATATCTTACTTGCTGTCACTTCCTGTAACTAACCAGAAAGCTTGCATCTTTAAATGCTTTTTCCTATTTGGATAGCTTTATTTCTACACCATTTTAAGTGTGGTCTCCATACCCACAATCAGTTCCTGTTGTCTGGAACTTGACTTCTGAATTGACGCTCAGTGTTTGGAGAACTTCCAGTTTCCAACTTTCATACTAGTGAATAGATTGGCAAAATCTCAGATACTGAAGTCTACTCCCAGTAGATGGTCATGTGCTAGTCAGCATTGACAATGATGGCCTGGGGAAAATGATTCCTTGTGGTACAAGGTTTCAAGTAGAGGTGGTCATTTAACGGAAACTAGTAAGGCTGACTTCTCTGCTTTTCCCCATGATATTCTAGAAAATCCAGACTATTTCTTATATAAAGTAAGTATTGTGAAAGTTCATAAGTTGCAAACTCAGGTGGCTGACTTTGAGAACTTTTATGACCCAACATAAATGTTACTCGGACAGAAGTCTGCTGAGGCCAAAGCATCTCTGTACGTGTGTTACGTGTGTGGCACTCTGCCTTACATCCTGATGTAGATTACTGGAGTGCGTTTTAACAGAGTGAAACACAATTGTGACCTCACAAGAACTCCTGCTGCTTCCGGGCCTGAAGCCTAGAGTCTGTTGGGCAATCTTTACAGCACCATAAATGATTGTGAATTATCCCCAGGACTGAGAACTAAAATTAAAACACATATGCAGAGAACCAAAATGAGCCACAGGTTTTAAAAATTCTGGGATTGTAGCAGGAACTTTATCTTTGGGCATTTTTCAAAGCCCACTTATATACTTAAAAGCAATGTACTAGTGACACATGCTGAGATATGAATGGATCTTGAAGATTATCAGCCAAGAAACCAAACACAACAGGTCACTTAACTGTTATTTAATCCACTGATAGAAAATAGCCAGGTTAGGTAAATCCAGAGAGAAAAACTTAATTAGTAGTTTTCAAGGGCTGTGAGGGGAAAATGTGGAATAACTACTAAGGAATATTTCTCTTTTTGATGGTGGTGGAAGGGTGATAAGTGTTGTCAATGATTGTATAGCCTTGTGAATATAACCTTTAAAGGGTGCAGTTTATGGCAAATTGTATCTCAGGAAACAAGTAAATGCTTGATTCCTGTATTTTCAAAAACCATTATGTAAACTTGTACAAGCATCAAAAAGAAATGACAACTGATTCCCAGGTGTTACCTGTGTTATATTATTTACATTTATAGAAAACTTATGTTAAAATAGCCATTATAATCCTTACACTAGAGGTGAAGAAAACAATCTTAGCAGTATTTTGTCCAACGTTTTAAAGTTTGAATCCCCATCCAGCTAAATCTCGTGCTACCCCTAAATATGTATGTAAATATGTAAATTTAGACTTTCCACTGAAATGGTTCATTTTTTTCAGAGGTTGAAGAAAATTCAGAAAGTCCAGTTAAATCACACTAAGGTGAAGAGTAAGCCAAGTGAACCCAGCAAACACTCAGGGTTTTCTACCTCAGACAACAGCACAGCCAACACTCCCCAGGACTACAGTGGGAACATGAAGTCTTTTCCATCCAGGAGCCCTTCACAAGGTGATGAAGACTCGGCCCTGATCCTAACCCAAGACAACTTGAAAAGCTCAGATCCAGATCTGTCAGCCAACAGTGACCAGGAGTCCGGGGTCGAGGACTTGAGCTGTCGGTCTCCGAGCGGTGGTGAGCATGCGCCCAGTGAGGACAGCGGCAAGGATCGGGATTCTGATGAAGCGGTGTTTCTCACCGCCCGAGTTTCCCCTTAGGACTTACAAAACAAAGGACACATACGACACACTTCCAAAAGCAAGGGAACAGTGCAATTCATGATACAAATAACTCAAGAAATGCTGTGTCTCAAGAATTATAAAATGCAGTTATAAAAAGGGAAACACTTAAGTTTCTTAAAAGAAAGTAACCATTTCTTTTATCAAATATAAGGAAAATCATTAACCATTTCAAAACTCATCCTAAACCATGAAACTTGTATTCATTACAGAGAAAATTCCTTACTTCTATTGTCACCCGAAGTTACCAGTATAAACTTCCCCTGTCATAGCACGCATCTTCAAGACAGTCCCAGCACCTCTCTCCCATATCTTTTGCCATCTTAAATCTTATTTCACTTCCAAATGCATATTTTGTATTTCCCAAAACATCTGCTATTTTCTTTCTCTGTCACCACTGCTTCTAAACACAGGGCACGTTGTTGGATTGTGTCTTTCCTAGGAAACAACTGTATCCGTAGAGAGGTTTAGGAACTTTATAGTTGCTTAAGCTTATCTTTCAGGTGTAACAATCACTTTTCCCTTAGATAATATATTTTGAATTGTTACTGTTCTGTTTCCTTTCTCTGGAATCTTGCGTTTCTCATTTTAAAAATGCTAAACTTACACCTTATGCTTTCTCTAACTTGGGTCTAATACCTAATAAAGCAACATTCATTTTCTGAGTGTGAAGTCAGATGTTAGCTTTCTTAATAACAATTTTTTATTGCTGTTCCAGAGACCAACTTATCAAGACAGTGTGAGCCAACTACCAATCTGATGCTGAAGTCTGACACTGAAGTCAGCAGGGTAAAACACCCACAAGGAACCAGAGAATGTGGCTGCCATGTCTATTTAAGGGAGGGAAATGAGCTTGTCATATGCCATTTTAGGCTTCATGCAGCTGCTTAATACGCTTCAGTTAACATTAGCAACACATGATGGGTGTGCGGACTTCTGATTACTGAAAGTTAATTTTTGTAAGAGGTTTTTCACGTGCACATTTGAAGCAGAATAATTCCTTATGACAGAAGATGGGCTTTTATTATTAATTGACCTAAAATCTTGATCTTAGGAAATCTAGTGAGAAAAATTGCCATGATTAGAAAAAAATAAGTAATAGCACTGTTTTTATTAATACTAATACATTCTAGAATATAAAGGGAGCAGTTTAAACTTTATAATTCAGTATTTTAAATATGTGAACTTTTTAATAGGTGAACACATTCAGTTTTGCTGAAACAACAAGGTAAGAAAGATAAAAAAAAAGGTGGCAGTGCTGAAATTGCTAATATAATTTGGAGGCAGTATAATAATTTAAGTAAGTAATACATTGTAACTGTATTGTTTCTGGTTAAAAACAGTAACTTTAGAATTAAGCTCTGACTCTTTTAGAATATAAAATTGCAGTGTTTTCTGCTGAGCAGTTACCAAATTAAGTGCAAGGAATGTTTGCTTCTGCAGTATACTAAAGGTAACAGGGAATGCCTTGCTAATAATAAGTAATTCATATAGTATCTAGCAGCAATCCTATTTTTATAATGCAACTCACTTCATACCAACTTTCTAGTCATGAGCAATATTGAGGATACAACTTTAATTTCTCCCACTTGGCAGTAAAAGTCTATAAATATAATACAGACTTTAAAATGACAACAGTATATGCCAAATAACATTATGCATTCATTTTGAAAAACATATCTGATTTAAAAAATTTTTAATGTGACATCTTTCATAAGAGCCACAAATTTTTAGTTCACTTACACTTTATAATTTATTGTACTTAATCTCACACTGATACATATATGAAAGTTTCACATTTATTGCTTAGTGAAACTTCATTGTGCATTCACAAAGCCTTGGAAGGAACATGGTTGCTTCAACAAGACTAAAATCTCTAAAACTACATTTTCATTTTAAATCAAATATCAGTCAAAGTAATTGTTAGGGCACTGCTATAAAGGATGAGGAATAAATCAGTATAAAGTTATCTCAAGGAAGCATTAGTTCCCAACTACTAATATTTAGAGCTCTGGTATTTTATTAGTTATTGATGTGTAAGTAAGTTTTGTGTGAAGTAGTAAGAGTTTTGATAATTATCTGGCAAAACATTGCATAATATAGAGAGAAGTCTTACAATCTTTAAATGGTTCAGGATCATTTTTAGAGGAATAATTTTTTCATTGTATTATGATCAAATGTATGTGTCAGTACCTTCCATCCTGATATAAATTCTCTGGACTCAACTTATTCCTAGAAATTACTTTCAAATATCTGAGTTAGAGCTCTCTTCTGTTTTAAGACTAGTTTTTAATATACCCATAACAAAACCCTGCCTTTTACAGTCTGCTAACTCCTATTGCTAGGATTCAGATTTCTATTCAGTATTCCACTATTCCTGTACATTAGAGTAAGATATTTCCTTGGATTGCATTTCTTCTGGCAGCACTGCTTTTGGCCAATAAAAAAATATATACACAGCTGTAAAATTACAAAAAGCAGTACTCAGAAGTTAAATTCACATATACTTTGGTGATAGTCATAACCTATATGTGGTCTATTTGTTAAAGAAGGTAGAACTTAATCTCTGACAACGTAAATATAGATAATTATTTAATTTTGAAGGAAAAACTAAACTGTTAAATATAAAAATCAAGTGGAAAGTCCCAGTTTAAGGAGTAAAAAAGCATTGAGATGAATTACTCATATGATTACGTACAAAACATATACTCTGTAAGAAAATGATTTTTCAGTGGGACAAGGGAAGATGGCTAAGCACCTTGACCATGTTTTATTTGTCTCTCTATACCTGCTACAATATTTTTTAATAGGTATTTCATAAAATTAGGAAATCAAAAGGATTAATGCTGTGTTAGAAGGCTGTGATCAGCTGGTCTCTTGTAGTAGGATATCCTTGGTCACTGAGAAATTCATCTGCATGCAATGCCTGGGGGCTATCTTATTTTCACTGACAGTGCAAACTGGGAAAATGAAGCTCTGTCAGTGCTTACCCAAAACTTTCACCTTAGTTATCCACAGTCAGGAATAATAACTGTTACCTTCTGAACACTAAACAGGAGGCCCTTACGCAGTCCAAGAAAGCAAAGCAATTAATATCAGGTATTTTCCATTCCAATATTTTATCTTCATGGTCCATGTGAATACTTGCCTTGTGTAAACAAAACTAAGTACAGAGAAATGATTTTCAATCTAAGAAATCAATTTTGTTTTTCCTAAAAACTACATTGTCAAAGGCATATGTAAGTAGTACAGAATAAAGAAAAAATATATATCATTTGCTGATATTTAAAGAAAGATATCCATGGGGTCATCCTGTGATTTAAACACTATGTTAGTAAGCCTTAGAAACGTAATATAGTTCAAGATTTTCTCCTTTGTGAGTTTTTAGGGCTATTCCTGAAATGTCATCCTTGTGTAACATGCTAGGGAAGAAAACTACTGAACTCAAAACAGTTAAAGAGAAAATTCAATTAAACTTACTAAATATCAGGGGTGCCTAACAATTAAATTATTTTACTTATTGTGATGTCGCTTTTATTTATTTTTAGGAAAACCCAACTCACAGATAAGGGTCAGGAAAAAAAAAATCACTGGACTTTTTGTGTCTAGACTTTATTAATAAAGATTTTTAATTTTTCTCAATTAGGAACTTAGCATATAAGTTTGTGTTGGACTAGTGTGTATTAAAGGCAGTTTTTTTCTCATAGGCAAAAAATTTACCTGTACTGCTTCTTAAATCCATCTTTAGTTTTAGAAATAAACCAAAATATAAGCTAGTTTATTCTTCTGATTTATTGTAAATATTAAAAGTGACCTTCTTGAAATGGTACACTGACATATTTCATGTTTCCTGACACTATGATTAAATTCTTAAAAGCAGTTTGTTTTTATCAGAAAGAAAGATGAAAAATAAGGATCTCTGTACAGTTAAAATAGTTTTTCAAAAAATTAAGAGGAAAAAAAAATGGGGCAGCTTCAAGTTAAAACTACAAACAAAACTAGCTAAAATTATATGCATAGGCATTTAATCAGTAAGAGAAATAGCAATAGAACTTAAATAGAATTTAACAACAATAAATATTTTAGTGCAAATAGTGCAGAAATTTTCTCAAAATAAATCATAGCAATGATTCTAATCTGTACAAAATCAGTCCCAGTTCTGCATACAATCCTTACAGTGTACCTGTAGATTTAGCCACTGTTGATGAAATGTCAATTTACAAGTCAAAATATAAAACAATGTGCTTAGTATTGTGTTCCATTCCTGTCTTGGCAGTTCATGTTTTCAGGAAAATCTGGAAAGAAAAGAATCAAAGATTTCATTTAAGGTGACAAATGTTCATTTGTGCATTTGCCTTCAATTGAGGTATCTCTAAGACGATGCTTGAGGGATCTGGGGTGAGGTAAAGATGCTAGCAAGTTCACATAAATAATTACTCAATGTTCACTTATTTTTCAAGCTTTAGGGAATGCAAATCTATTAAAAAGCAGCCCCTAACCTCAAAACAGTTTGTGATTTGGAAAACAAGACATAATAACATTGGTGCCAACAGTGAATTGTTTTAAGCACAAGGGGCAGATGAAGATGAGCTGGAGAGGATGCCTGTCAACTCCTTTTCTGATAGTTATTCTCTTTTAGAGACTCCATGTTCCATTCTCAAAGAAGTCTGCCACTTCAAGTCTGCTGACTGGGCCAGAATGGCAAGTTCATCCATAGCTGAGCCAGTCTTAACCCTTCGGTCTCTACTGACCAGTTCAATTCTCAGGTGATACAATCAGGATTGTGGGCAGCAACAGGTGAAGGGAGATTGATAGGGTACAAATGGGAACAGAGATGGCAGAAATGAGAAACAGGCAACTTCAGAAAGAAGAGCTGCTTTTGTTACTGAGTAACTTCTAGTATGCTGACTCTCAGGTAATTAAGCTGTACTTTCCTTCATTTTGATTCTATAATGTGTCGCTAGGGATGGACAAGTAAACTAGCAGTTAGGATGCTACAGTTAGCGTCCTGGCTCTGCTCCAAATTCTAGGCAGAAGCGAATGATACCTCATGTACTTGGGTCCCTGCCATCCCTGTGGGAGCCCTGAACTCTGGCTTCTAGCTTCAGCTGTACCTTGCCTCATTGTTGCAGGTGTTTGGGGACTGAACTAGTATAAAAAGCTTTCTGCCAATGAAATAAACAAATGAACCTTTTAAAGAAGGTAAAAAAAAATAGGATGCAGAAGACATAAGGGGAAAATGGAAAATTAAATTTGATGTGTGCCAAATTATAAAGATTTCAAAGCCAGAGAGACATTTGGCATTGACACTGTCATTGTTAAGGGATTATCACAGGCTCTGAGGCATAAAAATTCTATCATGGAAGCAGATGTTTTAGAAAGAGGATTATGTCAGTGCTTGTAGAAGAGAAACCCATTCCAAGGTCAGGGATATTGGCAGGAAATTTATTGGAATATCCTAGTGTAAGATAGAGACACAAACTGGAAATTCTCTTTACTGGAAGAAATGATGAGTGCAATTATTGAGAAATAAGCCAATTGTGCATGCCCTTTGAGAGAACAAATTTGCGCATCTACATAAATGTTTTTTTTTTTCAATATCTAATAGTTCCTTAAGAAGCTGGTATTGTGGAACAGTGCAGCTAAGCCCCTGCCTGTGACAACCCGTGAGCATTGGGCTTGAGTCAGGGCCACTGAATATCAGTGCAGCTCCATGCCCATTATGGCTGGGAAGGTAGCAGAAGCCCTGTCACCCACACAGAAGACCTGGATGAAGCTGCAGGTTCCTGCCTCTGCCATCACAGCTACTTAGGGAGAGACCAGCAGGAGGAGAATATCACTCTGTCTGCAATTCTGCCCTTAAAATGAATAAATAAATCTTAGGATTTAGTTATTGGAAAGGCAGATTTACAGAGAAGAGAGACAGAAAAATCTTAGTCCACGGTTTCACTACCCAAGTGGCCGTAATGGCAGGAACTCAACTGATCAAGAGCCAGGAGCCTCTTTCGGGTCTCCCATGTGGATACAGGGTCCCAAGGTTTTGGGTTGTCCTTGACTGCTTTCCCAGGCCACAAGCAGGGAGCTGGATGGGAAGTGGAGCTGCCAGGACATGAACCAGCACCCCTATAGGAAACTGGTGCGTGCAAGGTGAGGACTTAGCCACTGAGCCATCGTGCTGGGCCCTGAGTAAGTCTTCAAAACAACACATTAAATCAGTATGCTACTAAGAAAAAAACCCCAAAAATTTCTACTGATTTTATGATTATTAATATAATATGTAAAATGTATAGTACAAAGCATCCTATGTGTTAAAGAGTACAATAACCGACTAAAAGCCTTGGGATTCAAACCTGAAATACAAATTTACCTATAGAGGAGCATGAAATTTGCTGTGCATTGCTATCGCCTGTTGAAGTTTCTCTTCTTTGGCTCTTCTACAGTGGCAAATCTAGAAAATAAATTGTTTAAAATACCAATTACTTCTGCAGTGATGTACTTACTATGTTCTACATGATTAGAATTCTAAGAATCTTCAATCTGTTGATGTTCAAGGTAGCTAACACCACTTCTGAATTTAAGAATTAAGGGAAAAATTTCCATTTGAAAGACAGCCTTTGCTTGTAAACTTCCAGAATATAAAACAAATTCTAATCCTTCCTATCAGTTCTGATTATATAATCTCAAATACTTTTACTTTTAAAAAAATGAAAATAAATCCTACTGCTAACCAGCAAGATGAGCAAATAAAATCTTAAAAGCACAATTACATAGTATCCAATAATGGATTAGACATGAATGCCTTTACTAATGCTAAAACAAGTCATTAGCATCCCTGAACTCTCATGAAGAATTAGGACAAGGGCGTATGCTGTGTTGAATCAGGTTAAGTCACTGCCTGCCCTGCTGGCATTCCTGCTCAGTGCTAGTTCTTATCCTGGCTGCTCCTCCTGCGATGCGGCTCCCTGCTAATGCCTCTGGAAGACAGGAGAGGGTAACACAAGGTCTTGGGCTTCAGTAACCCACGTGAGAGATCCAGACAGGGTTCTAGTCTGCTGGCTTCTGCCTGGCCACTGCAGGCAATTGCGGAGTGAACCAGCAGATGAACAATCTTTTTCTCCGTTTCTCCCTCTCATTACTCTGCCTTAAAGAAACACTTTAAGTGAAGGCAACAAAATCTGCTCTACCTGCCTTACCCAGCTAACACATAAGGTATAGAAACAAAACATTACTTTTAAAATTTTATCTTCCAAAGAATCTAAGTATATCTTTAATGCAATGGGAGTTCTATTAAATAGCTAAGGACACTTTTTTGGGGGAGAGGGTGATTTTCTGTAGTTAAAATGGGAAAATCAAACTTTTCAAAGCTGTTAATATTTTAAAAATTTGTTTTTAATCTTTAAATTGTGATCTTTTTAAGCAACTCCTAAAATAGGCTACTAAGGAGACGATTACAGCTATTATTACCAGACTTCAGCTGATTTCCAGCTTTATTAAAGAATGATTCAGATACTAAGCTTCTGAACCAGAACTATGATTTGATTTACTTGTGTTCTCAGAACAAGCAGATTTAAAGTGACAGTAGGATGTTGCTATCAAGCTCAACAGAGGCACTTCACATTCCTCATTGCTCTGAAATTGTTGTTCAATAAGATGCTATAGTTTACGTATAAGCAGACATAATTCAGTATTACACGGTCACTTTCCTGAACTGAAAAGTATTACATACTGTTCTTTTTTCCATGAAGCTACTGAGAAAATCATCTATTTCAGTTTTTCCTTCCAAGAAATCTTCAGCAATATTATCAGATTCTTCTTCAGCTTCATGTGCAGCTACTTTCAACCTTGCTTGTAGGGCACTTGCACTACAACTCTAAAAAAGAAAAATCCAGTACTATATTAATAAGCACTACATTAGTTTATTATGCTCAAAAACGTTACTTGAAAGCAAACAAATAATTTGAGGTAACAAAAAGCAATTCACTTTATGCCCTACAGAGTACCTTTTGTGAGGAAATCCACCTCTTAATACCTACCCATACCGCAACCTTTGGATACCAAGAGGCAGGTGCCTAACACAAAAGAAAACATTCCTGTGGCTGAAATATTAAAAGAAGCTGAGAAAAATAATTGCCCTTTCCTGGGAAGAGGGTAGGCACCACTAGTATGACCCTCTCAAGATTCCCAACTTGGCACTGTTGTCCTTGGGGAAACACCTTCCTTGACTGTGCACTGATTTCTAATGACCAGAATATGACAAAAGTGACAGCATTAAATTTAAGCAAGTAAGTAAATGGAAAAGCATCTGTTGACAGGTTGGAAGATTAAATATTGTTAAGATGAAAATACTAGGGCCAGTGCTGTGGTGTGTGTTTTGGAAAAGCAGCTTCTTCTCATGCTGGCATTCATGTCCTGGCTACTCCAATTAGGAACCATCTTCCTGCTAATGGCCTGGGAAAAGAACCAGAGGATTGTTCAAGTGCTTGGGCCCTGTCACACACAGGGAAGACCTGGATGAAGCTCCTGGCTTGGGCCTGGCCAGTGCTGCTCACTGCGACCTCATGGGGAGTACACTGGTAGACAGAAGATCTCTTGTTTCTGTGTTAACTATGGCTTTATAAATAAATAAATAAATACACATTTTTCTGAAAACGACAATACTAAGTAATCTATATTAAATGCAATTCAAAATCTAAATACAAAAACTTTCTAAAATGTAGTAGAGCTTTCAAGAGACCCTGAACAGCCAGAACAATTGTGAAAAAGAACAAATTCAACAATTCATATTTCCTGATTTCAAAACTTGGTACAAAGCCACAATAATCACGATAGTGCAGTTCTGGCAAATATGCAGAAGAACAAAATAAGGAGCCCAGAAATAAATTCCTGTCCATATATGGGCAAATCCTTTTTCAACAGAAGTGTCAAGTTCAGCCAGTCTCTTTAACAATCCACACTGGAAAAACAATCTCTACATGCAAAACAATGAGGTTGGATCCTTACCTTTCCTTATGCATAGCAACTTATTCAAAGGGGGCTAAAGACTTAAATATATGAATATGAACAAACTATTTTTAATAATAGACTTTATGGTTAATGGATGGTACCTCACTGGTTTTTCACATACTGTAATGTATGGAAATGCACCATTTTCTTATCCATGTCAAAATTAGGCATATTTAATAATGTGAGTCACATGGCTGTTTTTGTTTTACTTTAAACAAAAATTATAGTGATGTTTGGTGTACTTTGCAGTGTTTCTGAGCAGCACAGGTTCATGCTCTTACTGGAGCGGTGTGAGCTACCAAAGTGGACTACACCAGAGTGCACAAGATTTAGCATCCCTAGAGGCCCAGGAGGAACACGTCTACAGAGGAGTCAAGGTGGTGTCTAAAAATTGTTAAATGTCAAGAATTCAACTAGTTCTCACCAAGATGTTCAGATATCACAGCAACTGTTGAACAATCCTTACTAGATATTTAAATTTCTTCTGTGATGGTATTGTTTGTCCTTTGCTCTTGAAAGACCATTGGCATAAATGTTTGGTCTTACACTTTTGATTTTTATTGCTAGAAGTTTAGAAGTAGTAGTAATGGAATTGTTTTTACTTTATAAATATATACACACACAAGTTTTCACTGTGAAAGTTATCTTTTTGACCAACATGCCAAAACATTTACAGACAAATATAGGAAGTTACATCATTAATAGAAAAAAAAATCCCTGGATTTTATAAACAGATGAACAACCAAACTCAGTCACACTGTCTTTAGTTTATTGTTGAATGTTACTTTAATGTTGATTATTTAGTAAAGATAGCATCAACCACTAGAAATTATTTTGGTAAAATACAATCTAAACCTAAAGGTAAACAAAAGTACTTCATTATTGCTTACTAAAAGGCCAATATTCCACGAACATATGTTATAAAATAAATGATCATATTCCAATTTTGTGTCTGTGTACTTTTTAAAGTTTTAACATTTTAACAACCACAAATGTTTTCCCATATGCTTCAAATGTAGACATATACATATATACTGCTTATTTCTTCAAAACATATTAATTAGCTGAAGAAATCAGGACAGTGATCATAATGTGGGAAAGAAAAGCATATCCTCATTTACATGGCATGATTCAATGAAGCAATATTTACATCTAAATATATACAAATTATAAATACCTTGAGGTAGAAGCCTGGCATGGCATTTAACACACCAGCTAAAACGCTCAAATCTGGGGTAGGCATCATGGCACAGCACGTTAAGCTGCTAACTGTGATGCCTGCATGTGATATCGGAGTTCTAGCTCCTCAGCTTCCCTCACAGCTCCCTGCTAATGCATCCTGAGAGGAAGCCAGTGGTAACAGCTCAAGGGCTTGGACTGCTGCCATCCACATGGGAGACCCAGATGGAGCTCCTACCCCCTGGCTTCTGTCTCAGCAAGCCCCAGCTGCTGTGAACATTAGGGCAATGAACCAGAGGATAAAAGATTAAAGGGACTGCTCATGTACATTTAAAGTTATCATGTCTTATAAAATCAGATGCCTATTTAATGGTTCTAGTTAACAATGCAACTGAATGTGGCTCGTGGGCATTAAAACATTCTTATGGGAAAGGAAAAGAACACAAAGATCTTACCTCGCTAAGTTCATGCTGCCTTTGCATCTTCTTTTCAAAAGCAGATTTCATCTGGGTAAGTAATTCATACTGAAAAAGAAAAGCATATGCTATTTATTCTATTATTAAGTAATATATATTGCTTCAAGATGACCACTAACTCACCTTATCTAAAACAGTTTGTCTTTTGGCTTCCAAGCTAGGCTCCAAAAGGAGATTTTTTCCTGCAAGATAAGACTCTGGTTTATTTCTAGGAAAAGATCACATTTTTCTCAGGAAACTATAGAGGTAAAATAAGGAAAGACATACTTGCTAGTTCCTCAATACTTTTTACTAAGTCATCCTTGTCGTTAATAATTTGTTTTAGTTGGGGCAAAGTGAGAAACTGCTCTAGTAGGATCTCCTCTTGTTCGTTCATATCTGTTAGCTGTGACACACTAGAAAGGCAAAAATAAAGAAGAATGTTAATATCAGCCATCTCAATTTTTCTCCATGAAGATAAATTTTATTTAGTTGACAGGATTCTAAATAGTTAAAGGTATCCACTTTTATATAAAAACACAGAAGGATAAATAAAGCCATTTCCTATATCTCTTCTGACCACAGCAAAGTTGGAGATTAACAAGAAAAACAAAACGCCAAAATCAGTAGGATTAAGGAAATAAAATTAGCATAGAAATGTAAAAACTATATAAAAGGTAAGTGCAATCAATAGCTATTCTTTTGAAAAAAATTAAAACTGGTAAACCACTGGCACAGCTACAAAAAAAAAAAAAAAAAAAAAAAAAAGGTGTGGTGGTAGGGGCACCCAAAAAAACAAAACCAAAGATGGAAAGGAAATATTATAACTTATGCCACATTAATACAAATAATAATGGGCAAACAATTATTACAAATAGCTATATGGCAATAAATTGGAAGATCTTAAAAAATGGATAATTTTTGGACACATGTAATCAACCAAAATTAAAACATGAAGATTTAGAAAACCTGAATAAACCAGTCACCTAAGCTGAGATTCAATCAGTTATAAAGAGCCTCCCAACAGAGAAAAGCCCAAAATCAGATGGTTTTATTGCTGAATTCAACCCAACTTTCAGGAAAATAATTCCCCAATTCTTAAAGCATTGAAGATAAATGGAAAGTAGGGAATACTTCTAAACTCACTGTACAGGCCTAGCATAGTTTAATTCTAAAATCAGAAAGATACACAACAAATAAGTGAATTATAGACCATTAACCCCATGGAATATAGATGCAAAACCTAACCCAAAAACACTCATCCACAGGGATGAAGGGAGATTTAGCCCAGGGAAACAGGAATGGTTCAAGATAAGCAAATCAACAGAATGAAGGATAAAAACTATGATTATCTCAACAAATGCAAAAAAGGCATTTGATAAAATACAACAACAACAAATTACATAGGAGGAACATATCTAAACCCATTTGAAGCAGTGCATGACAAACTCACAACACCTACTAAATGAGGAAAAGCTAGAAATATTTCCACCAAGATCAGGAACCAATAACCATTAGTAGTCAATACAAGTTTCAGCCAGAGGCGGTATGTGGCAACAATTACAAAATCAAAGGGAGACAAATTGGAAGAGGAAATCAAATTACTTCTGATGCGTATGACATAAGCCTATATACATGGCAACCAAATGACTCCACCAAGACATTCTTGGATCACTGCACCTTGTAGAAGAACTCAGTAAAGCTGTAGTATGCAAAGCTAACACACAAAAATTGTCAGCCTTCTTACCCACCAATAACGCTGTGGCGAAAGAACTTGTAAGATCAGTCTCATTCACAACAGCTACAAAAAAAATGTAGATACCTTGGGACAAATTTAACCATGGAAATCAAAGATCTCTACAATGAAATCTAAAATGAGTGAAGCAAATAGAAAAATAGCAGACACAGAAAGATCTTTCATGCTTGTAGACTGGAGGACTTAACGTCACCAGACTGTCTATTCTACCCAAATGTGATTACAAATAAAACAAGGACATTCTTCACAGATGCATTTTAAAAAATCTTAAAATCATGTAAAAACAAGAGACACCAGACAGCCAAAGCCACAGGCCACAGGCATCACAATATTAGATTTCAAGACATGCTACAAACCTTAGCCCATAAGTAAAATTAGGAACAAGGATGGAGCACAGGGCATGCCGAGCTAGGCTCTTGCACCTACTGGTCTGTGTGAGCCAGGAATGCTAAAAAACAGTGTCTAAGGCAGGGGTTGGGAGAGGTGAGGGGCTGGGCCAAGCCGAGTCACAGCAACCACGGACATGCGCACGATCTATGGCTGGGAACAAGCCTCGTTGGGGAGCTAAGGGTTCCCACCAAGGGGCGCGTGGCCTGGAATTGGGGCTGCGTTCTGATCAGGATATGGTTGTAGTCTCCCTTGGCACAAGTGTGGACTAGGACTGGACACAGCAAGTCGGGCCAGACTCCAACACCTTCTGGTGTTCTGGAGGATCAGGGTAGATGTGGAACGGACTAGGCTAGGTCTCAACCCCTACTGAGCCATGTATGAGCTGTATGTGGGTATGGACGAGCCGTGGCTGGGCTGAAACATCCAACAGCAAAAACCAGATTGGACTGAAGGCCAGTCAGGAAAAGCCACTGTTCCTGCTAGGACAGGAGGTGAACTGAGTAGGGTTGGGTCATGGAACCCCTGGCATTGGGAAGGGTTCTGATGGAGAAGCCTGGACAACTCCTCTGGCAAGACACAGACCTAACCAGTGCAGGGCCAGGCCTAATGGATGTCATTGTGGGTTGTTCCAACTAGGCTACAGCTCCCACTGGCTTATGTGAGGGCCGAGTGTGTGGTAGGCAGAATCAGGCTGGACTGCAACATCCATTGGTTCCAGTGGAAGACAGGGCTGGAAACAGAATTGACCCAGCAATTGCAACAACTACCAGCTGATCAGGGCGATGGACTGTGCTGGGCCCTGTACTTGCTGTTGAATATCAAAACCACTTGAGCAAGATCCTCGGAGCATATCCCACATCGGGGACCTGGGGTGGGTGGGAGGCTGGGTGGGGCTTCTCCCTTAAAATCCCCCTTTATCTCAGATATATGAAGGAACAATATGGAAATAATAGTCTTACCCATTTTTCTGTAGCCCTTAAGCCTTTTTACCCTAACTATGTAAAGATTGTCAAAAATATAATTTAAAAATGGAAAAAAAAAAAAGACATTTTACAAGGCTGCTTACATAACCTGATACTTGCCTTGTACTGGGAAAATAGGATTTCCACATACAGTAATATGAAACAAGACCCTACCTTTAAACCTACACAAAAACCCATTCAGAGTGGACAAAAATTCTGAACTTAAGACCTTGAGGGGTGCGGCCGGAAAGGGGGGGGGGGCGCGGCCAGAAAGGGGGCCGCCCTCTCGCCCATCACGCAGCGCACGTTCGTGGGGAACCTGGCGCTAAACCATTCGTAGATGACCTGCTTCTGGGTCGGGGTTTCGTACGTAGCAGAGCAGCTCCCTCGCTGCGATCTATTGAAAGTCAGCCCTCGACACAAGGGTTTGTAAAAAAACAAAACAAAACAAAACAAAACAAAAAAAAGACCTTGAACCCCAAGATTCCTAGAGGAAAACAGAAGAAATACTGCATGTCACCGGCCAAACACAGGATTTCTCAGAGAAGACCTCAGAAGCACAGGCAGTAAAAGCCAAACTCAACAAGTAGAATTACATCAAGTAAGAAGCCTCTCCACAAAAAGGAAAAACAATTAAATGAAAAAATCCTGAAAAAAACTGTCAGGATTACCAGCAATGAGGAATATACAAATAAAAACTGTGATAAAGTATCACCTCATTCTAGTTAGATGGCTATCATCCAAAAAATAAAAAAAATTACACATGCTCGTAAGGAAGTAGAGAAAATAGTAACTGTATATTCTGTTGGTAGAAATGTAAACCCTGATGGAATAAAGGTTCTGCAAGAACCCAGCTATTCTGCCATTTCACGCTGAGGAATATACCCAAAGGAAATTAATTCAGCTTATGAAAGTTACCTATAATCACTTGTTTAGAGAAGATCAATTCACAAAAAATATGGAATCAACTCAGATACCCATCAGCTGATGAGTTGGATACAGAAACCAATGTATATACATAAGATGAAATATTACTCATCCATAAAAATGAACTAACATTTGCAACAAAATAGATGTAACTGGTGACCATTACTCTAAATGCAATAAACCAAACCTAAAAAGATCATTTTTTTCTTACTTATTAATGTATAGAGGATAAAAATTCTGTGAAAGTTATGTCATTTGCTTTATAGTTCTAAATGCTTAACTAAACCACACCATAAAACAAAACAAAACAAAACAAAACATGCATTTCACATGTTAGAAACGAAGAGGAGAGAAACTGAGAGAACACTGGGGTATTGGTAACAGTTTGTCCTTAATTTGGGTGTTAGTCATAGGGTAATCTGATCACAAAAACAAGCGCATTTCATGCTATTAATATTTAAAAAGCAAAAAAATGCGTAGGATATCAACCACATGGAATATAAATATAATGTATTCTTGATAGGAAATACATAAGGGAACACAGATTCAATGAATATACCAATATTCTTTAAAATCACAATTCTGGTTCACAGCTATACCATGACCTGAGGTTAACTCTAGAAAGTTCTACTTGAGTAAATGAAAAGTTGAAATTTGTATCTCCTTTTATTCAGCAGAGAATCCATACAATAACCATTTTTTAAATCTTTCACTTAATTAAGATATTATTTCCTCAATGCTTTTTATAAGAACCACCCTAATTGACATGTGAAGTACAAGTTATTTATTTCTTCCAACCATAATCTATCAGTAACAAAATCTATCCAAAGGAGTAATGTCCACAACAAGCTGGTATTATCAAAAGATTCTTCCTATTTCTACACAATATATGTTGATGGGGAAAAAAAATCAAAATTGGAAATAGACCAGGGCAGTTACTGTAAAATTTTGGTTCAGCAAAAATGCTGGAGATTGATGTATCCACTCAGTTTTATAGCCGGTCAATGCCTGATTCTAATGGTAGCTTTGGCCAAATCACAGCCAATGAAATTCTCCAAGTCTCTACAAAGTCAACAGTCTTTGCTACTGTAAAATGTCAGATTACTACAAGACTACCAAGGAATGCACAAGCACCCACTAACAATCTCCCAATTTTAACTTGTGTGCTTAAATACTCAACAGATCTATTATATCTATAATATAAGGGAAGGGTTTTTTTAAATTCTTTTATTAATCATGCAGAAATATTTAGAGACATTAAAAAATAGCATTTGGCTGTACATACTTGTATGGCACATACTAAAAATAAAAGAAAAAAAAACTTAACTTGAATTTATAACCTTAGTAATAAAGCTGGTATTGTTAAGAAAAGAAGCGCCCGTTACAGAAATGGTTGACTCTAGTTTGGGTAAAAGAATGTTCATGGATGAGTGTGTACAGAATCCTGGATAATAAATTCCAATCATACAAATAAAGAAATCATATTTGCAACTGTTAATACTAAATGGTCAATCATTTCAGATGCTTCAATAAGATCTAACCTTAATGTCACTAAAATTAGGGCAATCAGTCATCCTTGCATTTATTATAATGTAGGCATTGACAAAAAAGTAATTACTATTATGAGCCCAGTGCCAGCCAAACCAAAGAAACATGGAAAATAAAAAGAATATCCTTAATGGTACTACAAGGATGTTTGGACCAAAACAAATATGAGAAATATTACTGTACTAATAACTAATTTCATCACTAAATATAAAATATATATTGGGTTTGACGCTGTGGTGGAGTGGATAAAGCCCCTGTCTGAGGCACTAGCTCCTGCCAATGTGCTTGGGAAGACAGTGAAGCACGGCTTGAATGCTTGAGCCCCTGCATCCACACAGGAGGCCTGGAAAAAGTCCTCAGCTCCTGGCTTTGGACCAGTCCAGTTATAGCAGCCACAGCAGCCATTTGCAGAGTGACCCAATGGATAGATTTATCTCTCTGTATCTCCCTCTTAACTGTGCCTTTCAAATACTTGAATGAATCATATGTATGAATGGATACAAATATGAATATTAATGTATTTTGTTTATGAATGAGTGTATACAACTTGGGGGGAAAAAATACTTCGTGACCAAAAGATATTTAAGAGAACTTTATTCAAATCTAATAGGTGTCTTTTGTACTGAATCTTGGTCCAAACTGTCAAGAAATAATTATTAAAACATTAAGAAAAATAATATTAAATAATCTGTAAATTTTGGGTATGATGAGCATGTTGATTAGGACTATAAGAAAAAAATCAGAGTAACAAGAAAAGGAGGAAAAAAAGAAAGGAATGGCCTTTATAAAATAGGAATTCTAACCTTAACAGTTATAAGCGTTATCCTTTGGAATGACTGTATTATACTGGAAACATTTATTTTTAACAAAAAAAAAGTATTTTAAAAACTGTTAAATTTTGGGTCAAATATAAAAACTCCAGCTACGAAATTTGTCATAGATATTTGGCTGTACACTTCTGTTGGATATATCCAAAACAGAAAAAGAACTTCAAAAACATTTTTGTAACTGTCCAACAATCTTATTAATGAGCCTTATTAGTAGTATAAATCCTCATTGGGCTATAAAGGATGCACTTATTCCCAAAACTGATGGCCACTCTTCTCACAGGTTATCTTAAAGGAACAGTGTTTAATAACTGTATCCTAATTACTACAAATTTATCTGCCAAAAATGTGAACATAATTTTGGCTCTGTAAACACCGAGCTCAGTGATGACATGGCATCTCAGGGGGCTCATCCTCTGCCTGCAGTGCCAGCATCCATATGGGTGCAGGCTAAGTTCCCTTTCCTGATTCAGATCCCTGCTTAAGGACTGGGAAAGCAATAGAAGAGGACCCAAGTCTTGGGGCCCCTGCATTATCTGGGAGACTAGAAAAGAATTCCTGAGTCCTGATCAGCTCAGATCATGCTGTGCCATGTTGTGAATGAACCAACGGACAGAAGCTCTGTGACTCTGACTTCCAAGTTAAATAAATAAAATCTTTTTACAAAACTACTTTAGCATATCCTTATTCTATTTTTCTTTCTATATATTTTAAAGATCTACAATAGGTCAAAACACATTTTGAAATCAACAGGAATAAACATATTGAGAAATGTTTTTAAAATTGCAAGCCACACGAAAGAACACTATGATTTTGATAACTAGTATATCATTTCTGCCAGCTACAAAAATCCTATACTAATTACTCAAAAAATACAATCTGTAGGACCTAAAACTGGTTTATAAAAGTTTCCCACTAACATACCCACAGTATGAGAATAGTGAAAAATTTAATAGTCTTTTTATTGAATATGGATATAAAATGATCTGACTTACGCTTATAAATAAAACAGACAATAAAACTAACTTTACTCTCTATGTTTTTACCTTAGTTCTGAGAGTTCTGGAAATGCTTCAGGGACTTCTGGCATCTTGTAACCAAAACCATTTTGGCTTATCTAAAGAAGAATTTTAAATGATATTAAATTTCAGCCATCTTTTTGGGTGCTTGCACATATGGGGTTGCTTTTTTTTTTACTTTCTTTTTTAGTGAAGGCTGTGTGTATACCCACAGAGATCTCTTTCTTAAGCACCTGCATAAATCCATGACAAGTACAGAGAATTATCTGTGGATTTCATTGATATATACAAATGGTATTTTTCTTGATTGAGAGGCATTAAGTTTAAAACAACTTAATCTGGCAATAGTTTGAATTGTTACAAACCTAAGTTAAATGAGGCATTAGGGTAGATGAGGAACTGAGTCTCCACTGTTTGAATGTATATGACGTTTTATTCTTGGGGACCTCTGAACATTTCTTTTAATTGTTAAACCAACTGCAGCTTGCTGAAAGCTTTATTAACACAATTACAAAAGTTCTGGAAAAAACAGTCCACTAGGCACTATACTCTAGATGATTACAAACTCTTAGATTAATAATATTGACTAACATAAGGTTTTTACAATATTTCAGTATTACTATGGGTCATGATTGGTGAGTTAACACTACAGAATTCAAAATCCCTTTATATATCTTGTGCACATATGATAGTTTCCTGAATCATTCCACATAGTAAAAGTTACTAGCTTAAGAAGACACAACTTTCTTAAACCAACAGGTTAACTGAAGCTGGAAGCCATACACAATTTGATCCACTTCTCCTCATGGTTGCATTTTACATATTTGCTTACACTCTATGTGACAGCTTCACAAAAATGTCATTAGGATGAACTGGTTAAAAATACAGAACTGGTTGAGCTTTCCACAAGTGTTACGACAGACAGGAGGTGAAGGCTCATACAGGGGATCCAGCCTAGCTTCAGCTTGGCCCATGCCAGGATGTTACAAGAATTTAGAGTCAATCAGTGGATGACAGAGCTTTCTATCAAACAACTTAAAACAAGGGCTGGTGCTGTAATATAGTACAGTGAGTCCCACATCCCATTTGGGTGCCAAATTGAGCCCTGGCTGTTCCACTTCCCACCCAGCTCCCTATTAATGAAAGCAGTTGACAATGAGCACAGTCCTGGGACTCCTGCAAACATTTGGAACATCAGAATGGAGGTCCTGGCTTTTGCAACCAACTGAGGGGTGACTGAGTAGATGGAGGATCTCTTTCGAAAACTTTGCCTTTTCAAATAAATATATTAAACAAATAAATTAAAAAATTTAAAAACACACACAAGATTGGGGATGATATCTGGCTTAGCCAATCAGACAAGACACCTGAGTCCTATATATATATATCAGCTTATCTAGGTTTGCTCTCTGCTTCTGGCTCCTGATTGTAGCCACCTGCCAATGCAGATCCTGGGATGTCACTGTGCAGGCTCAAGTGGTTGGGTTCCTGCTCAGTCATGGGGGAAACCTGGATTCAGTACCTAGCTCCCTTGATCCCCTGACCTCTCTTTGTCTGCTTCTCTCTCAAAGAAATATATAACTAAAAACAAAAACTGACATTTTGTAATGTCTGGTGATTGAATATCAAGAGTAAAAAATACACATAACTGAAGATACCAACCGGTGTAGCAGTGTCTGCTGTAGGAACAGGTAATGGCAGATTGGAAAGGATGCCAAAAGAAGGTGCGGCAGGCTTTGCTGGTGTGCAACTTGTTGTTGAAGAAGAAACAGTGTCGGCAACAGACAAAGAAATATTCCTGTTGGCTTCTTGTGGAGGATACGGAGGAAGACATGGAAAACCCTGAGAAGTGTAAGGAGGCATTCCACTTGGGTTACTGTATAGGCTAAAGGGAAAAAAAGCAGCATTACCTTTTAGAAATGAAACATGTAAAACTATTCCTGAATTGTTCCGAGTAACAATAATCATGTTTTGTAGTCAAAGATTTATTTAAAAGGGAGAGAGACAGAGAGAGAAACAAAGAAGGGATTGTTAATCCATTGGTTCACTTCCCAAGTGGCTACAATAGCTGAGGTAGCCTAGGCTGAAACCAGAAGCAAAGAACTTCAACCGTATTTCTCAGGTTGATCATATATGCCCAAATACTTGGACTATTCTGTTGCTTTCCCAGGTACAATAGCAGGTGGCTGGATTGGAAGCAGTTTGGGAAGCGGACCGCACTTTGATAAGTATACAGGTGGCAGTTTAATCCACTATGCCACAATACACTGCCTGTGACAGTCACGATTAAAGACAGAAATTATTTATGCCAAGTGATGGTGGTTACTACAATCATATAATGAGCTTAAGTATTACGTAAAGTGATAAAATATAAACCCTCTCAAAAGTATATTGTGGTTCCTATGAAAAGATTAATTCAGAAAGCATACAATTCAACTATTCAGAATACTACTGAATATACATCTGTTTTTGAGTGTTAAACATTTCACTGGCATCAATCAATTTATTCATATGGAGAATGGAAAATATTTAATCCAGAAACTTCATATTAATGCAAGCTGCCTTGTAGTTTGCACTATATTAGGCAAAAATGTGACTGCGTATCAAGACTGTTTTTCTTGACCATTTTTTCAAAGATTTATTTTTATTGGAAAGGTAGATTTACAGAAAGAAGTTGAGACAGAAAGGTGTTCCATATGTTGGTTCACTTCCCAAAATGCCCCAATGGCTGGAGCTCAGCCGATCCCAAGCCAGGAGCTTCTTATGGGCCTCCCACATAGGTACAGGTTTTGGGCCATCCTTGACTGCTTTCCCAGGCCATGGAGTGGAGCTGCAAGGGAAGCAGAGCAGCCAGGACACAAACCAACACCCATATGGGATTCCACTGCGTTCAAGTTGAGGAGATAGCCACTGAGCCATCATACTGTGCCCTTTTCTAGACAATTTTACAGGAAAACTAAATATACAAATGATCTGCTAAAGAATCTTAAGATATTAAAAAGATTTGTATATGCATCTATATATGCTTTTATATTAAAAAGAGGGACAGCATTGGACGTAATCATAGAATAATGCAGTAGATATCTATTTAAACTTTTGTACCTCTTTAAAAATATTCAGACTGGCTAAGATTAAGGTATTTTAGTCCTAAATGCAGTGAATCATCCAAATACTGATATTTGAATTGATACAGTACATTATTATGAGCCAGTCACTATCATGCAAAGGACAAAGAACTTTTGACTATTTTTTCAATAATATAAATTATTAAAATGTTTCACTTTATGTTTAAGACTTTCCAAACATAGATTAAATAAGGGAGTAGGGTTGGCACAGTGACATAGAAGCTAATCCTCCACCTGCAAGCACTGGGATTCCATTTGGGAGCTGGTTCATGTCCCAGCTACTCTGCTGCTGACTCAGCTTTCTGCTTATGGCATGGGAAGCAGCAAAGGATGGTCTGAGGCCTTAGGCCCTCCATTCCCGGGGAAAGCTAGGAAGAAGCTCCTGGCTCCCAGCTTTGGATCAGCTCAAATTTGGCCATCATGGCAATTTAGCAAGTGAACCGGCAGATGGAACACCTCTCTCTGTGTCCTTCTCTTTCTGTAAAACTCTGCCTTTCAAATGAAAAAATGATGATAAATCATTTATTTAATGATAGAAATCCACTTGAGTAGGAAATTTTGCCTGAAGGTCACATTTGTTAAATGAAATATGTTTAATGACATTTAAATTTATACAGAAAAAGAAACCAGAAAAATAGAAAACATGAAAATGGAGAGCAAATAATACTGGCCCTAGCATATAGGAAAACAAATTATTAAACTTCAATAATAAAACCTACATATTGTATTGATGAATGGATAGGCAGATTAATGGAACTATCTAAGCTTCCCTGCTAAAGCATGAATTTGGTAATTAAGTAATAATACAGGCTTTCCTGTGGAAAATAAAAAGTAGTATGAGAATTCCATTCAAAAATTATAATGAGGTAGATAAAATCTAACACAGGAAAGACTTAAACATCCTGAAAATTTTTAGAAGGAAAACATTGGGAAAATGCAACCTTAAAATGGGACAGAACTTTCTATGATCCAAATTCGGAATTCACTGGAAAAAAAAATGATGACAAAATCTAGTACAACATCAAAAAATGACTACATGACAATGTTTTTCATAACACAAATTTACTAAAACACTTCAAACATACAACAGGGATAATTACTCAAAAATATAAGAAATTGTTGTAAATTGATATAAGACTAAAACTCAGTAACTACGTGGAGGGTAGGACAGTACAGATCACAAAAAAGGAAAAAAAATCTATAAAGCAAAAACAGCTGCACTGGTAGTAAGATAAGTACACCTTAAATTATACTAACATGTCATTTTCTATCCACTGACAAAGGATCCATTTCTGATAGTACCTCAAAGGTATGTGGAAACAGGTATAATATAAAGGAGTAGAAGCTGGTGCAACTAATTTGAAGGCAACTTTATGGTACTTGTCAAAACAAAAAATTATAATTTATCCAACAAATATATACACATTGTGTAAAACACTGAGAGTAGCACTGGGGACACTGAAGAAGGAAAATTCAGCAACAGGAGTGCTGTTCAATAAATTATAGTACATCCATACATGAGCACACTGGTCATAAGGAGCAATGAAGAAGTGTCTCATATACCATGGAAAAGTCTCCAAAGTATACTATTAGGGGAACAATGATACCATTTCTGTAAAGAGGGGGAGAATAAAATATTGCATATGTACATTTCCTTATATATGCATAAAATATCTCAGGACTTACACACACACAGATACACACCTCTGACACGAGAGAGAAAAAAATTGCAAGGAAAAAAGTTAGGAAGACCTTTTTATTTTATATGCTTTTGTACTTTTTTGATTTTAAGTAAACAAAAGTCCCATTCAAAAAATTAAATTAAAAACTTTTTAAAAAGTTTATTTTTCATTTACTTGAAAGACAGAGAAACAGAGAGAGAGCCTTCTTACTGTTGTTCACCACCCAATTGTGTGCAAGAACCAGGCTGAGCCAGAAGGAAAACTGGAGCCATCCGTTTGTGGGTGACAGGGACACAAACTCTTTATCCCAAAAAACTCGGGGTAGTAGGTTAAAGATGAGGAAGTGACTGCAAGGACTAAGAAACCTAACAACTAGAAAAGCCAGCTAATGAGATGTATAAGCAGTGTCAACCATGCAGCTTGACTTCTGAACAAGAAAATGTTCTTCAAAATGAAATAAGAAGAGTAGGAAATAAGGCCAAAAACTATTCTGTGAAGAGGAACTATGCAAATTCAGATAACTCTGCAATGTCACATTTCAAGGAGTTTTATAAAGAAAGAAAACAGGTAGGAAGAAAATTGAAAAAAAAAAAAATTTACTGGAAATGAAGACATGAATCTCTAGATTGAAAAGGCTTGCCCCAAAATACCCAAGGATGCTGCAGATTAGTTGTATCATCATCAAATTTCAGAAACTCCAGATAATTTTAAGTCACAAAGGATCAGAAAGAAATATGGCATTGAATATCCTAGCAATAGTTAGCCTAGACTATGGACAGTAACAACAAAAAAAGTCTCCAAACTTTATCTTCTGAGCATTTTGGGCATACTGCTGTTTTCTATAAATGGCCAAATTAATATTTCTGATACTGTATGCTCTTGGTATCAAGGAGGAGAAACCTGGGGCTGGCACTGTGGTGCAGTGGGTCACCTACAATGCCTGCAAAAATAGCCCAAGTGCTTCAGCCCTTGCCTTTCACATGACAAATGCAGACAGCGCTCCAGGTTCCAGTCCTGCCACTGCACCAATTTGGGGAGTGAACCAGATGGAACATCTTTACCTGACATTCTCTGTAACCTTGCCTTCCAAGTCAACAAGTAAATCAACAAGTAAATATTTGCTTTCTCTGCTTTAATCTGGTCAAAACTTTCTAATAGTATTGACAGACATACTGTGAAAGAGATGCTGAATGATTTTAGTAGCTGAAATACATAAAGCCATATGACTTTTTACTATTTGCTCCTTAGGGTTCTTACTCTTGGAACTTAGCCATCATGGTGAAAGAAAGCATAAGAAACAGACACACAGGCCACTCTGCCTATTCCAGCCTGTGTGAGGAGCCAGTTAATGCTTCATGAACATACATGAACTCTCAGAACTACAAACTAATGAGCAAAATAAATGTATTCATGCCTTTACCCATAATTTTGTTGGTAATTTGTTATCTAGCTTATACTAATAAGAACTGATTTGGGAAAATAGAATGGTACTATGACAAAAAAAAAAAAAAAAACCTCTAAAATTTTGGAGTGGCATTGAGACCAAGCAGGGGAAACGTATCTTTAGAATATGTAAGACTAAAGAGCACATTAGTTAGAACCCAACACATTAGTTAGAACCGTGGATGAGTTGCTCATTGCAACACCAGAAAGTTTACTAACACTGCTGCTTGCAACAACGTGGAAAAACAGAATCTATAGGATAAGCAAGTCAAGATTTCTAGAGTGTTAAAGAGTCTACTTGACTTCTAACTGAAACCAGTAAAATAAAGAAGGCAGAAATAAGGTAAAGAAATGTTAAATACACAATATAAGACTTCTTGGGTTTGAAAATGTCTTTCACTCCTATATTCTCTTAATTATTAAATTAAGCAGCATCTTAGAAGTCAAAGTTCAAAACCAGAGTAATCTAGATTTTTGACACTGCTAAGCAAATCAATGCTGTAACTCAGAGAACAGTCCAGGAAGAAAAAAAGGCCTTCTCAGACTGTTACAAGTGTTCTCCCTCAGTGGTCTCATGGAAGGCCAACAGTTCTGTGGGTGTTGCTTTAGTTTAATGAAATGAGTGAAAAAATAGACTTACATGAAAACCACAAACGTTTTATAGGAACTGTATTACTGATCTAAAAAGAACCAAAACCATACCAAATGAAAAGAAGCCTATGGACCCTTAAACTTACACATAATGGAAGTGAGCAGTAAAAAAACTATATCAATAACATTTACATTTTATAAAAAGAAAACAGAACCAAGATCCCAGAAAGATCCATCGAAGAATCACTTCCATCAAGTAAGATTCTGCCTTACTCAAAAAAATATTGATCTAGCTAAATTTCAAAATTGCTATGGACCAGTTGCCCTGTGTGCTTTTATTTTCTACCATTTTGAGCAAAATGGTTCATAATAGTTATCCTATTGCATTATGAGTTACGAGGGGAGCCACCCTGTCTCTTAACTCCGTTGTCTTCAGATAAAGAACTATTCTTCAGGAACATAACTGATATGCTTCACTTATACCTCAACCAAATGCAAACTAAACACAAGACTGAATCTAGTGTCACAGAATTCTTGAATTGTGTCAGCCCATGGGGACATGTGGTCTATTTCCTTGACAAATTTGGATGTGACTTTGTAACTTTCAATGTAAATCAAATGCAGTAGATGCTGCTGAATGGCCTGGCATAATGGCTCACTAGCTAATCCTTCTATTGCAAGTACAGGGATCCCAAATCAGCATGAGTTCATGCCCCAGAGGCTTCACTTCCCATCTTTCCCTGCTTGTGGCCTTGGAAAACAGTAGAGGATCACTCAAAGTCTTGGGACCTGCACCCATGTGGGAGATTTGGAAAAAGCTCATGGCTTCGAATCGACTCGGCTCTAGTCATTGTAGCCACTTGAGGAGTGAACCAACCAATGGAAGATCCTTCTCTCGGTCTCTACTCTCTGTAAATCTGCCTTTCCAGTAAAAATAATGAAAGGAAAAAAGAAAGAAAAGGAAAAATGCTCACTGATATCCAGGGCTAGATATACAAAAGCAGTAAGTATTTCTTCCAGTTGGATGGCTGGTTCTTTTTCTGGGGATATCTGTCCTCAGACCTCAACAAAATACACTGTGAGGAGCCAGGCCGTGAATAGGCCTTAGCCAGATAATATTAGCTGATAGCTTCTACTAAGATCTCAGAATTTAGCTAAGAGTATCTGTCAGACCTGAGAATTAAGTGACTCTTCAGATTATTCACCCCCCACACTTGAAGTCATTTCAGCTAACACAAAAAAATAAAGCAAAACAAGCAACTTTCACTGATTTCTAACAAAAAGAAATGTCATTATTTCATTGCCAAGTTTATGGAAAAAACTGATGTTCATTCTTAGTAAGACATACCTCCATTCAGCACAGTACTGGAAGGCAGTAAGATACAAGCGAATACACTGAGAAAGAGAAAAAAAATCCAAACCTGGCGAATACAATAAAAGAAAGGAGCAAAGGGGTTTCCCGGAAAAGTTCCAAGATGAGAGCTGTGCAGCAGTCAGAGCATCTCAGACAGGAAGAAAACATGGAGCAGTCTCTCCAGAATATAAAAAGGAACCTAGAGATCACTTGATTGGTATTTTGGGGTTAAGGGGGAAGGAAGGGCTTAAAGATATTTTAGGGGGTCCAGCACAGTAGCCTAGTGGCTAAAGTTCTGGCCTTACATGCGCCATGATCCCATAGGGGCGCTGGTTCCTGTCCTGGCTGCTCTACTTCCCATCCAGCTCCCTGCCTGTGGCCTGGGAAAGCAGAAGAAGATACCACAAAACCCTGGGACCCTGCACCTGCATGGGTGACCCAGAAGAAGCTCCTGGTTCCTGGCTTGGGATTGGCTGAGCCCCAGCTGGTGCAGCTACTTGAGGAGTCAAGTAGCAGATGGAAGACTTCTCTCCTTCTTTCTGTAAATCTGTCTTTGCAACAAAAATAAATTAAAAAAAAAAAAGATTTTTTTTGGAACTATAAAGGCTCTGTACCAATTTAAGAAAATCAGGAAACTTAGCAACATGTGGAAAGGTAAGAGGTTCTAAGAACACAAAAACAATGGGAAACTCAGGCTATTAATTCCAGAAAAAAGAAACATATCATAATCATGATACAGTTAGTTCAGAAATGGACAACTTTTAGATTAATATTGACTTCTGCAAAAGTACAATGTATTTTCACCAGTAAGATAAGGGGAAAAGGAAAGCTTTGTAAAGTTAAAATCCTCATTCTATTATAATAGTGGGTTAATAGACAGTATCTAAAATGAAAGAACTAAGAGACAGCAGAATATTCACATTACTTGGGAAGATGGGAGCATGCTAGAAAAAACAATTGAAAAGGATAGCAGAGTTGCTGAAAAGTATACACATACTTGTGAGACAATAGGAGTGTGGAAATGAGAGGATGGTCTTCTAATATGTCTTGATTTTTAAACTATATGTTCATTATTATGATAAATTAGAATGCAAATGCAAAGAATTTATTATTAATATACTCACTATGGAAATGCTGTGGAAGTAGGAGCTAAAACTGGAGGATTCTTCCAAAACTCATCCAACAAACTCTGAATAATTTTTCCAAGATCTGAGTGCATTGTAAACTGAAAGCAAGAATAAAACATGATCACCACATTATATTCAGAAACAGATTATAAAGTCTCATTAACATAATTTCAGTATAAATTTTATCCTGGGGCCAGTGCCATGGCATAGTGGTCTAAGCTTCTGTCACATGAGCACTTGGTCATGTACCAGCTGCTCCACTTCCAACCCTGTTCCCTGTTTCTGGCCTGCGAAAGCAGTAGAGTATGACTCAAGTCAGTGAGCCCATGTACCTACTTGGGAGTGGGTTTGGATCAACTCAGCTCCAGTCATTGTAGCCATTTGGGGAGCAAACAAGCAGAGGAAAGACCTTTTTGTCTTTCCTATCTTTAGCTCTGCCTTTCAAATTAAAAAAAAAATCAAATCTCTGAAAGAAAAAAATAATTTTTTCAATTTAAGAGAAAAAAAGGATGTGGTGTATCATCAACTAAAAGTGCACATTTTAAAAGTTTTTACAAATTCAGTATCATAAATCACCAAAGCAGGGTAAAAATCCATTTATTTAATCAACAGATATCTCAATATTTCACTAATTACAGTAATTTGAAGATTCACAGGTACACTGAAGTTATAGTCCTTTAGATTGATTACATTCTTTCCCAAGAATTTTAAGGCAGAATCTTACATAAACACATTATTATCTGTTATATATGACCAAATTATACTAATTTGAAAAATGAAATTTTAAATGAACTCCAGATTTTTTAAATATTTCAAAGAAAGATAGTGTACTTGTTAGATCACTTTAAAATACGTACATTGTTCACTAATGGCGAGGTAACATATATTCCTTGTTTATCCATTAAGTGATGTCGTATGGGTGGATAAACACTGATCACCGGCTTTTCCTGAGGAAACTGTGGAGGAAGTAATCTGGTAAGGACAGAACAGATGAACAACAAATACAACAAATGTTAAATTCTATCATCATGATCTTAAAGTTAAAAGCACAGTTGTATAATCGTACACAGATAAACGATTAATTTCCCTTTTATGGTTGCCAACTAAAAACCTAAGACCTAGCATTTTACTTACATAGTATTCCAACAAAGAAAATATTTTTGATGTGGAATATATGAACATCCTGAGCTACGGAATATTTGACGCATTGCCAATTGTTTCCAAACATGACATACCAAGCTATTCATGGTCTCTATAAGGCACTGGACCCAGGGAGCTCTACTACCCCTGTCTGGCTATGAAACTACAACATGTAGTAATGTAGTCTTCTGTCTGAAGTACTTTTGAAACGCTGCCAGAAATCATTGCATTATTACTTTTTCCCAAAAGTAAAGCAGGCAACAGAAAGTTCTAGGACTGAAATAGTGTGGTTGCCATCCTTTCTTGGTTCCATATATGGCTCCCCTCTAAACATCTCAATTAAATTACATCTCCCAACACTCGGGTTAATCACAATTGTTTCAAGTAAAGAAAATTTTCAATATTAAAAAAGGAAAAATTTTAACTATTTTTGAACTAATATAAAATTAGCATTAGTGAGGCAGTACAGGGTGGTGCCAACATCCCATGTGAGTGCCAGTTTGTGTCCCAGCTACTCTACCTTTGATCCAGCTCCTTGCTAATGATCTGGAAAAGTAGAGAAGGATGGCTCCTGCAACCACACTGGAGACCCAGAAGATGCTCCTGGATTTGGATTGGCCCAACTTTGGTTAAGGCAGCTATTTGGGAAGTGTACCACCAGATGGAAAATGTCTCTCTTTCACTCAGTAATTCTTTCAGATAAAATAAACATCTTTATTAAAAATGAGATTAGCCAGTGAATTTTTTTTAAGAGTGGGAGTATACAGAATACGAGTGCTGTTTTCCAAGTCTCTAAAACTCAAAATACTTTCCCTTAAACTGCATATTCCCTCAATGTCTCAGAAGTCTACTTGTTACAGAACTGTGCCTGTCTAGGCACTGGGTGTTCTTTACAGGTCATTTAGGTGGCCCAACAGTCAAGATATCATTTGAGATGTAAATATCCCATATCACGGTGCTTGGGTTCAAGTGTTAGCTTTATTCCCAATTTCAGCTTCCTGCTAATGTACATTCTGGAAGGCAGCAGTTGACAGCTCAGTACTTAGGTCCCTGCCACCCACGTGGGAAACCAAGATCGAGTTCCTGGTTTCTGGCTTTGGTTTGGCTGGCCCTGGCTAATGTGAGAATTTGGAAAATGTACCTGAAATAAGAGAAATCGATCTTTGTTGGTTTTTCGAGTAAAAAATTTTTCAAAAATTTTAAATTACTATACTTATTACGAAGGTGAAAAATTCGAAACTAGCTTCAAAGAAAAGGTACCAAATGGTCTCTGGACTCCAACTAATGTGGGTTTATACCTTGACTCCAATATATTTATCATGTCTGTCATTTGCCCTAGTTTGCAGGACTCTTGTGAGGATTCTAAAAGCTTATGTAGAGGACCACCATTGTGGCAAAGCAAAATCACTGCTTGCAACATCAGCATCCCATATTGGAGTATAGGTTGGAATCCCCAGCCCAATCTAGCTAGCTTCCTGCTAATGCACCAGGGAAGGTAATGTAGACATCCAAGTACATGGTAAGAAACCTAAATGGAGTTCCTGGCTCCTGGCTTCATCCGGGCCCTGCCCTGGCAGTTACAACCATTTGGCGAGTAACCAGCAAGTGAGAGATTTCTCTTGCTATTTCTCTTATTTTATTTAATTTTTAAAATCAAATGTTAAGGAGAGCAAGATGGCAGAATAAGGCGAGGACAGATCATAACAGAGAGCAATTAGCTAAAGAGAAGCAGAAAAGGTGCTATCCCAGGAAACAAGACAGGCTGATGGCAGAGTGATGCCTGGAGAACCGAGAACATGGGGAAGCAGCAGACAGCGGAGCAGTGCTGCAGTGACCAGGTACTCCAGTGGTGATCAGAGCTCCACTAGTAGTCAAGCAGGAAGCAGAGTTCACCGCAAACTCAGGAAATGTTCACCACAAACCCAGCCAATTGAACTGTGGGTCTCGGCGGTTTTTGTTTTCAATTTTGTTTTAATCTGATTATGAGCAGAGCAGAATGGCACAGGCCTAGAGGATGAGTGTGGGAACAGGGTGGATTTCGCTTCACAGATCCTCACTAGTGCCACATTGGGTGCCATTCTGAATTCTGTGGAAAAGCCCTTGGGGGAACAACAGCAAGTTGTGCAAGCACTGAGCCAGTGGAGAACTTACTTCCATCTCAACATATTACACTGGTCCCATTAGCAAAATAATGTTGACTTGGCAACCCCAGCACTCCATCTAAAATAGGTTTGGGTTATCCCTAGATCTAATTGCCAGCAGGTTCCAGTAAGGAGAGAAAAAAAAGAATCAACGCAACAGGGGCCAATAACCGCCCTGTGACAAAGTTACAGCTTGTATCTCCTAAAAACTGGGCACTCCTGGGACCAGGAGTAGAAAAGCTGAGCAGAAAAAGTGTGGTCACAACACAGAATCATAGGGAGTACAAAGTGATGACCCAGAGCCATGACGGCAGACAGTGGCAGAGGCAGAAGTATAGCACAGGAGTCTGGGACTGAAATTCACTGAAGGGAGTGGTGCAAGTGATAGCAAAAAGAAGTGGGCACAACTCAGAAATTGGCCCCAAGAAGAATCTGCTAATCAGAGTTGCTATAACCAAAGAAAAGGCACAGGCACAATGAACGAGGTAACTGACAGCTCCCCAATAATGGAGATAAAGACAATGTGTCAATCTCAGACTTACCTGAGACAGACATTGAGGAACTGCCAGATAAAGAATTTTTAGAAACTGCTATAAAGTTACGCAAAAACATTAAGAAACACATACAGAAATCAAGTAATTTAAGGAATACATGACACAGGAAGTAGCAACATGGAAACAAAATCAAACTGAATTATTAGAAATTAAGAATACATCACAGCGGACCCGGCGGCATGGCCTAGCTGCTAAAGTCCTCGCCTTGAACACACCGGGATCCCAAATGGGCGCAGGTTCTAATCCCAGCAGCTCCACTTCCCATCCAGCTCCCTGCTTGTGGCCTGGGAAAGCAGTTGAGGACGGCCCAGAGCTTTGGGACGCTGCACCCGTGTGGGATACCCGGAAGAAGTTCCTGGATCCTGGCTTCAGATCGGCATAGCATTGGCCTTTGTGCTCACTTGGGGAGTGAATCATCGGACAGAAGATCTTCCTCTCTGTCTCTCCTCCTCTCTGTATATCTGACTTTCCAATAAATAAATAAATCTTAGAAAAAAAAAAGAATAAATCACAGCATATTAAAAATTCAGTGGAAAGCTTAAATGACAGAATAAATAAGGCAGTAGAAAGAATATCAGATTTGGAAGAACTTCAATAGTGCTGAAACAGTCAAAAAACTGCAAGAGTTGAACAAAATTAAGAAGAGCAACCAAGGATTAAGGGGCACTATCAAAAGGCCAAATATAAGAATTACAAGAAGTTCCTGAAGGCATGGAAAGAAAAGCTGGGTTAAAAGATGTATTCAGGGCCCGGCGCGGTGGCGCAGTGGTTAAGGTCCTTGCCTTGCAAGCCCGGGATCCCATATGGGTGCCGGTTCTATCCCGGCAGCCCCACTTCCCTTCCAGTTCCCTTCCTGTGGCCCGGAAAGCAGTTGAGGACAGCACAAAGCTTTGGGACCCTGCACCTGCATGGGAGACCCGGAAGAGGTTCCTGGCTTCGGATTGGCATAGCATCAGCTGTTGCGCTCACTTGGGGAGTGAATCATCGGACGGAAGATTTTCCTCTCTGTCTCTCCTCTCTGTATATCCACCTTTCCAATAAAAAAAAAAAAAAAGATGTATTCAATAAAATAGTAAATGAGAACTTTTCTCACACAGAGAAAGAATCGTGTTAAAAAAAAAAAGGACCAACCAGGATGGGCACAGGACTGTGAAGAGAGCTGACCAAAAGCAACCCTGGCCGTGACATATAACAAGGAAGCATTCTTCAGTTGAACATTAAAAAAAAAAAAAAAAAAAAGATATTGCAGTATGCATGTGAGAAAAGTCAATTAACTTATAAAGGAAAAGGAACCCCAATCAGACTCACAACTGATCTCTCTGAGGAAACCCTACTGGCCCGAAGAGAATGGAGTGATATATTCCAGAGTAATTTACCCAGCAAAGCTTTTCTTTGTCTTTGAAAATGAAATAAGGTACTTCCAAAGCAAACAAAAGTACAAAGACTTCCTGTATGCCAGCAACAAATGTTGCTTAAAGTTATGCTACAAACAAAGAAAAATAGCACCTTTTGAATCCAAAGGCAAGCATGGAGAACATTTCAATAAAATGATGAAAGAAACCTAAACCAACCAATGAGAAACCCATTGCTAAAATGACTGAACCAAATCATTACTTGTCGATATTAACCCTTTATGATACCTTAAATGCTCATCATACAGATTATGCAAGTATACAGACTAGCAGACTGGATTAAAAACAAACAAAAAAACCAAAAAATCAGGACCCATCTATGTGTTGCCTGTAGTAGACACATTCACTAACAGAGACATACAGAAACTGAAAGAATGGAAAAGGATATTCCAGGCTAATAGAAACAAACAAACAAAAAACGAGCTGGTACAGCCATTCATATATCAGATAATATAAGCTTTGACATGAAAAGCATTAAAAGAGATGAAGAAGGACACCACATAACAATCAAGGGATCCCTTCAGCAAGAAGAAATCACCATAATAAATACATGCACACTAAGCCAGGGCATCTAACTATGTGAAACAAGCAGTAATGGACTTAAAGGGAGAAACAGACTTCAAAACAATAATAATAGGGACTTTAACACCCTCCACTAACATCAATAGACAGATCAATGAGACAGAAACTCAGAAAGGAAACAAGAGAGCTTACCCAGAGACTAGAGTAAAAGGACTTATTCATATCTAGAGAACCTTTCATCTCACAGACACAGAGTGCACTTTTTTTCATCATTACACACAAGCCTCTCTGGGATTTATCACATTTCAGGCCACAAAACAAGCCTCAGCAAATTTTAAAAAATTGAAATCATCCCATGCATCCTCCTAGATCATTATGGAGCAAAACTGGAGACCAACATGTCAAAATACTTCAAATGATATGCAAATACCTGGAGACTGAAAAACATTTTAAAAACTGATCAGAAACGAATGAAGGCTTCAACACATCATATCAAAACTTGTAGGACACAACCAAGGCAGTGCTAAGAGGAAAATTTACTGCAATTACTGCCTATGTCAAGAAACTTCTAGAAAAGGCAACACACAAATGATCTAACCATATGACTGAAGGCACTAGAACAAAGAACGAAATAATCCCAGGATTACCGGAAAAAAGACATAACCAAAATAAGAGAGGAAATAAAGCAAATAGAGATCAAAAGAGAAATACATAAGAACAATGAATCAGAGTTGGTTCTTTGAGAAAATCAACAAAATAGATTCTCCACTATCCCAAATACTCATAAAAAGGAGGCAGAAGTGATGAATCAATAGAATCAAAGATGAATCAATAGAATAAAAAATAGAAAAGATATCTCAGAAATGCCTAAAATAATGAGGTACTATTACAAGCAATTATATATCAATAAATTAGAAGACCTAGAAGATATGGACAGATTTTGGACATATAAAATTTATCAGAATTGAATTTTGAAGTAATTAAAAATCTGAATAGACCTATAATCAGAACTGAGATTGAATCAGCAATTAAATCCCTCCCAACAACAAAAGAGGCCAGGACTGGATAACTGCACTTCTGAATTCTATGAAACATCTCAAGAAGAACTTACCCCCAAATCCCCACAAGCTATTCAAAACCATAGAAAGGGAGGCAATTCTTCCAAACTTGATGAAGTCAATATCATCTTAAATCCAAAGCCCGATAGACACGCAACAAAAAACAAAAACAAAACAAAACAAAAAACCATGGCTTCATATCCTTGATGAACAGACATAAAAATCCTTAAAAAAATACTAGCCAATATTGTATCCTGGAATTTATTAGACAGATCATCTAATTGGACCAGGTGGGATTTATCCCTGGCATGCAGGGATATTTTAACATATGCAAATTAATACATGTGACAATACCACATCAACAAATTGAAAAGTAAAAACTGTATAATCATTTCAATAGATGTCAAGAAGGTATCTGATGAAATCTGTTCCATACTAAAAAACCTAACATAAGACAGGAAGAGAAGGAACATTCTACAATACAACCAATATTAAATGGGGAAAAACTGGAAGTTTTTCCACTAAGATATGGAACTAGACAAGGATGTCCACTTTCACTATTGCTATTCAATATAGTATAATTCCTTGCTAGAACTATTAGGTAAGAAAAAGAAACTGGTCTAACATAGGACCCAGATAACCACTGCTGGGAATATATCCAAAGGAAGTGAAAGCTGCATTTGAAAAAGTGACCTGCACTGCTATATTTATAGCAGCTCAATCCACAATAGTGAAGACATGAAAACAACCCAAATGCCCTTCAAAAAAGGTATGGATAAAGAAACTGTGGTACATCTACTCCAGGGACTACCACTCGGCCAAAAAAAAAAAAATTCTACCATTTGCAACAAAGTGATCCAACTAGAACTTTTTGTTGATGTAGTATTGATAAAATAAGGTAAGATCTATCTTCACTGGCTTAACATATAGGATCCTTTCGCATGTCCATGTTAGTTTTCAGCCTACTTAAGCTGACTGTGGTAGTGATTAATAAAAACAATTATAGTTCCAAGGATTTTAAAAAATTATTTCAGGGCCCGGCGCGGTGGCGCAAGTGGTTAAAGGTCCTCGCCTTGCACGCCCAGGATCCCATATGGGCGCCGGTTCTAATCCCGGCAGCCCCGCTTCCCTTCCAGCTCCCTGCCTGTGGCCCGGGAAAGCAGTCGAGGACGGCCCAAGGCTTTGGGAACCTGCACCCGCGTGGGAGACCCGGAAGAGGCTCCTGGCTTCGGATCGGCATAGTATCGGCCCGTTGCGCTCACTTGGGGAGTGAATCATCGGACGGAAGATCTTCCTCTCTGTCTCTCCTCTCTGTATATCTGCCTTTCCAATGAAAAAATAATAAAAATAAATCTTTAAAAAAAAAATAAAAAATTATTTCAGAGAAAAAAGAAGTGAGAGACAGAACTTTATCCTCAAACGTGCTGACAGCTGAGGCCAGGAGCTGGGACCTCAATTTAGAACATCCATGTGATTGGAAGGACCCTAAGCAGCTGAGCCACCACCACCACTGCCCAGGGGCTGTATTGGTAGAAAGCTGGAGTTCAGAGCTGCAGCCAGGCAGCTCTGATACGGGATGCATGCTTTATTATTAAAACATTTCTTCTTTTCACAGTTCTTTCACAGTGATAGAAAAAGTATAATGTCTTACAAAATTTTTATTAAATCACATGCTATTTTTATAAATTTTCATTTAAAATAATTTTATAGCTTATTTCTAATAACATGAGACAAAATAAGGAGTTTTGAATCGTAGTACATGAAAAAGCAGGATATAAGTCTACTCACATATTAATGTTAATCGTCAGGTTATTTACAGTGAATGGCAATCTGTATTCCACATCTTTCTGTATTTCAGCTATACTGTAAGAGAAAATTTGAAAAACAATTTACTCAGTTGTAAAACTGTAATGTTAAAAACATATATTAAATGCTAGATACTTCTAACTTTAACACAGAATCTGGTCCGTTTAACTTATACCTTGAGTGGAAAGCTATGAGGGTTAGTAAGTCGTACTAAGTAATAATAAGTAAGCAATAATATCCTAAACTATTCAAGGAGCTAGAAGGCAGGGAGGATGCAGAGATAAAAAAAACAAAACAAAAACAAAAAACAAGGAAGAGCTCTTGTTTCACTATATTCAATGTATCATTCCTAGAAGGTGAGCCCTTGGGTTAGCAGTGGTCTGCAAGGCATATGGGTTCTCAGTCTAACCACACCACTGTACAGCTGTACAGATGGAGAAGCCTGGAGTATGACTGACTGATAATGGAGATCGAGGGGAGTGTCTTTCACAGCTTTGTGACAAAGGTTTCTAGCTACTTTCCAAAATCAAATATTCCCCTTCTTCCAAAGTAAGAGCAACTTGGATTTTATTACATGTGGCAATGTCCTATTCTTTCTTATAGCAGGCTGTTGCTACAGACTTCAGTTCCAGTTAATAGTTAATAAAGTACATAGGGAAGTTGTGAGAAAGAATTTCAGCAAAGCATCTTAAAGTAGAACAAAAGAACACACAACTTAAAGAAGCTCAGTTTGCCCTTCCTACCCTCCTCCTAATTCTTTGTTGGATTTGATAGCCGACTTCTAATATTTATTCTGAGCTATGTGTGACCCCGAGAATCAGTTATGCACTAAGGACAGCTAAGCACAAAGAAGTAGCTTGACCCTTTATGTTTTGGGATTTGTCAAAATCTGAATTTCTTTTTTGTTGTTTTTAAAGACTCATTTATTTATTTGAAAGGCAAAGTGAAAGAGATGAGGGGAGATAGGGAGAAAGGAGAGAATATCTTCCATCTATTGGTTCACTTTCCAACTGTATATATATGCTTGAGCTGGGCCCACTGGAAAGTCAGAGCTTCTTTCATGTCTTTTACATGGCTGCAGAGGTCCATTCACTTGGAATATTCTCTGCTGCTTTCTCAGGCAGATTAGCAGGGAGTTTGATTGGAAGTGGAGCAGCACTGGCCCCGAGGTATTTCTTCTATGTGTGATAAAAATATTTTCATCTTGTTTTGCCATCATTTTCAGGGTGTAGGTTAATGGTGGCTGAATATAATTTCTGAATATAAGTGCCTTATACTTTAACATCCTATACCAAAATGTTTAACACTGTTCCATTAACTGTTGACATATATTATTAAAACTATAATCTGGGCCCAGTGCCTTAGTCTAGTGGCTAAAGTCCTCACCTTGCACCAGGATCCCATATGGGCACCAGTTCTAATCCCGGCAGCCCTGCTTCCCACCCAGCTATCTGCTTGTGGCCTGGGAAAGCAGTCAAGGATAGCTCAAAGCTTTGCGACTCTGTACCCACATGGGGGAACTGGAAGAAACTCCTGGCTTCGGAGAGGCTCAGCTCCAGCCGTTGCGGCCACTTGGGGAGTGAATCAGCAGATAGAAGATCTTTACGTCTCTCCTCCTCGCTGTATATCTACCTTTCCAATAAAAATAAGTAAGTCTTTAAAAAAAATTATAATCTACCAAATAAGTGTTTGTGGGGGCTCACTTAGAATTCTAACCTATTTCCAAAGGGGAACAGTAATACGAATGTTGTGAAAGGTGTAATATATGCATTATGTGGTCTTCCCAACCTCCCAACTGTGAACCACTCAATTCTTCTATCCAATTTTGGGTCTAGTAGTAGCACATAATGGACTGAAAAACTGTATGTAAAGGAGACACTTCTAAAAACACAGACATTCCACTTCGGGGATTTTCACATATTTGCTTGCACATATCCGATCACTATTCCCAATCCAATAACATAAAATTTTCTTTGCAATTAACTCATATAGTATCTATTCAAAAAGAATGTCATTGACTCTCTTGGATAACATATGTAGTTTCTCTCCTTGCCTTTGGAAATAAATGAGTTGTATGCAGGGTACTCATAAAGGGTGTATATTAGGTTTTTAAGGTGTGGCTTCCATATAATTACTTTGAAATTCTTGTTCATAAAGAAATAGCACTCCTAGATAATTATTCAGTTATTTATTTCAGTGTATACTCACATAGTTAATGTTTTGAAGCTTAGCATTTATTAATACTCTTGCTAAAAATTATTTTGCATTTTCTACATTTGATTCTCAAGGCATTTTTAGTTTGTTCTTCTATCACTTTGACATCCTTTCATGTAAGTTTGTGTATCACTTTGTTAATTTTACATGTTTGTTTCCTTGCTGGCAGTATAGCTTTAAAATCAGCATTTTTCTTTCTTTAAGAAATTTTTGTCCTTAGTATGGGGAATTATATTAGAAAACAAGTCTGAGTGCCGGCTCTGATTTTACAATTGGTGTATCATCTTTTTCTAGTAATCATCAGCTACTAGACAAATCAAATATATGTAAATTGCCTAGCCTATGTATATGCATACAGCTGTATTTTTATGTAACCGTCTTTACATATACAAATTAAAACTAGGTGCACACTAATATCTTCACCACTAGTGCATGAAAATGTGGATCATGCTTACCTTCCTCACTTTCATTTGTAAAACTCAACTTTAATGATAAAAATAGCCCAATTCCAATAAGAATTACATCAGTGGATAAGAACCTCATCTTCTGATGTAATTGATCAGTTTTAGAGCACATCTAAATCTATGTAACACTTATCAACCCAACCCTATGAGTTTATCAATAAGCAAATAGTATGTATGTAAAGTTCTTTTTTTGCTTTAAACATATATGCTTCACCCACTTGCAAGGTGATTTAAGCCATCATATTTTCCCTTAGCCATTTCATGTCAAACGGTTTCATGCAATTATAATAAAGTTCAATGTTGGCAAAAAAAAAAAAAGATATATATATGCATTATGTTATGTACAAAGTAGATCACTACTTTGTATTTTTTTTGGTTGCTTCAACTAATGGCTTTATAAAAAGCTTTCATTTTCCTTATTTTTAGACTGTTGCTTTGCTTACCTTTTGTTAAAACTTAGGTTCTAGAATAATGCAAATCACAAAGAGCTGAAATGGTCAAAAGCACATGAATCAGCATAGGGAGCAAATAGAGAAGGTAAGATTTCCTCCTCCAATGTTCTGTTACATGGGGCCATTGCACAGGGAAGAAACAGCAGAGACTCAAGCAGATACTCAACATCAGGCTTATACAATTTTGATGAAAGCTTTCCTGTGAGGATTAGGGTTAGACTGACAGCTACCTCAGTTACACTTATACCATATAATCAACACAACACCTTAAGTTTTTGTTCTTATATGTAGAACCCTATAAACTACTGCCCGAGGAAACAGATCACAAAAGCATCCACTATTTCAAAGTCAAGAACAGAACTTTAATGATTAATAGCATGGCCTCTCAGGTCATATTTTTAGATTCAAATCCTGTCTGTATTTTCCTGTGTGATCTTAAGGGGCTCAACTTAATGAGCCTTCCCCAGAAAGAGGAAACAGCAAGATTATAATCATTTATACTTCCCAAACAATTCTGGTAATGTAGTACTGTATTTTTCACTGTGTTAATCAATTAGCAGAAATCCGTTTTACCTAAGTAAAATAATTCCCTGGATTCTCATTTGAATATTTTTGAAGATTTTAGTATATAAATAACTTTCTAAAGTAATGCTGCATTGATTATCATTAAAAAATGAGAAAAAGGGAATTCCAATATGGCTGCACAGGAAATAAAATTGTGGCTTCTGATCAGGGACAGCTGGGAATGAAATGGAAACACATTTTCAGGGCAAAGTTCAAGAAAATCCTGCAGGAGGAACAGGATGGACAGTGGAGAGACAACGCAGAGACGTGTGAATGCAGCAGTTATGTAGTGGACAGCAGGAATAGCATTGGAGGTACTCTCACTACTAGAGGAATTCTGCAGACTACTGAATCAGGTATTGACAGGCTACCGCGGCCAGAGTTGGTGGCAGTGCTTTCTGACAGAGAATCTAGCAGACAGCACTAATTTTGGGTTTGGACTGCTTGTCGCCAGACATTAATGAGGGGGCATCACTTCTCTTTCCCCCATACACCAACCTGGGTGCCCTGGGCAGGAAGGAGTCCGCACCATTTTGAAGTCAGTGGAAGGTGCGGCACAAATCCCAGTGCTATGGGCAACACAGCCGGACACAGAATCTTACAAACCACAGTGACTTCGGGCTCAGATTAAAGCCAGAGTGAGGTAAGCTATCATTGTTTAAAAATGACATGATCCTCTCTACATAGGGGAACCAAAACAATCTGCCAAGAAGCAAGTGGAATTCATAAGAGATTTTGCCAAGCTTTTATATCCTTTGGCAAAGGATATAAAATCAACATACAAAATCAATATCCTTTGTATAAACAAACAATTCCATGGATGAAATAGTACTTTTAAGTTCAGTCCCATTCACAATAGCTGGAAAGAAAAAAATATATATGTTCGAATAAATTTAACCAAGGATGTGAAGAATTTCTACAATGAAAATTAAAACACATTAAATAAGACATCGAAACACATTTTATATTCATGGAATGGTAGAATTAATATCATCAGAATGTCCATATTACTGAAGGTGGTTTATAGATTCAATGCAATCCCAATTAAAATACCTATGACAGGAGCTGAGCAATGGCTCAGTGACTGAATCCTGGCCTTTCATGCACTGGGATCCTGTATGGGCACAGGGTTGTGTCTTAGCTGCTCCATTTCCCATCTAGCTTCCTGCCCATGACCTGGAAAATAGTAGTAGAGGATGGCCCAAAGCTTTGGGACTCTGCACCCACGTGAAGCTCCTGGGTTCTGGCTTTCAGATGAGCTAGGCTTTCGCCCTTGCAGACATTTAGGGAGTGAACCAATGGGTGGAAGATCTCTCTTTGCATTTCCTCTTTGCACATCTGCCTTTCCAATAATAAATAAATA